TTAAAGCTTCTAGCTCTTAGCTAGCATTTTGCTTTTTTCTATCTTTAACCTTTACTTTAGTATGGCTGTCCTTGAGCTTTATGTAGGCCATATACAGTACATCAAGCAACCTGTTATAACTGTAAGCATTTTAGCTAATACTGGTGTTCTTGAGGTTTTTGCTAACTTTTTTACATAGCCATGTATCAAACATGTTTTGGAGCTAACGTTAGCTTTATTATTAGCATAATGTTTAACTTACTAGTCTGAGCTTTCTGCTCTTTTTGGTTAATTAATCTTTAGAAAACGTTTAAGCTAACCGTTAGCTGTTTGGCTAACAGGTATCCTTTTTTTTCACCAGGGTAAAACTCCTGCAGATCAGGCAGAGGGCGACTCTGAGCTGGTCTTCTACCTGAGGTCTGGACACTTTACATCATCGTCTGCTACACAAGATGACCTGGAGACAGCAGTCTGAGATACACACACACATACACACACACGAGAGATAAAGAGTGTGTGACAGAAACAGAGTCTGGTTTGAACAGACTCACCAAGAACTGCTGGAGCTGCAGCTAAGATTTTAAAAGTTCTTTATTTATTTGTATTTATTTATTCCTATTCTATTTATTGGTTGATAGGTCGGCGGACTGCGTGATCGATCGATCGATCGATTGATCAAATGATTGATAAACTTTGAGAAGTATGTGGACTCCTTTTTGTCACGAATTTAAAGGGATTTTTGGTTCAACGTTTGTCTTTGAAACATCAAATGAAATGTGTGAAAACGGAACTTGTGTGGAACACGGCGACTTCCTGCTTAAAGAAAGAGTAGACACATGACAGACTTTTTTACCCGTCACCCTCCACCCCGCCCCCGAGTCCCTCCAATGAACCATGTGCCAAAGACGTGACGTCCAGAGTCTCTCCACAGGCTGAGCAGTGATTTCCTCCCTGTTACCTGGGTCATGTGTGATGTCATCACACGTTTTCAGCTGCTTTTCACAACACACACATCAATGATATGTTACATGACACTTGAGCTTTCTTTGTAGAAGAACCAGTGAGAAATCATAGATTATAAGTAGGGATGTCCGATATGAACTTATTGGCGATATTGTGCAAACACTTAATTTCCGATTCCAATATCAACTGATCCTGATACATGAAGCCCTTTGAGGACACAGCGATATCAACCGATCCCGATACATGAAGCCCTTTGAGGACACAGTTGATTGTGTGCAGTGGTGTGCTGTGTCACAATGACAATACTGTGCACAATACAAATAACAATTTCACTATTACTTTCACTTTAAAGGTATTTTTGGATCACATTGTCTGGGAGAACCCCAAACACTGCGTTATCGAGTTTTCATTATCGGAGGAAAAAGAAAGAAATGATTCTTAGCGATGTTACCGATATTACCGATACTTAGCCGATATTATCAGACATGACTGATTTTAAGTAAGACATTGGTGTAAAAATGTTCAAATACACAAGTCCAGAACAACAGCTGGGTCGTGGTAGGGGTTTTGTACCAGGGACCTGTACTGATCCTGTTTAGAGGAAATTATCAAATACATCAAATCTGAATGAAATGGTTGGAGTTCTTTTTTTTTTTTTTTAATAATGACATTTTACAACCTCGTTGGAAAAGCCTGAACAACAGAGGAGGTATTACGTGACAGTGAATGTCTGTGTCCGTGTGTGTGTGTGTGTGTTATATGAGATCAACTATCTGAGCCATGATGCGTGTGTGCGTGTGTGTTTCTATGTTGAACGGACGTTTGAGTGTTTGAGTTGCTCTTCAGCTGCTTCTGTTTTTACTCATCTTTTTCTCTTGAATTATTTTTGTCATCGTTTCATTTTCGTGTGTTTGACTACGTGAACTGTCGCCTCCTTCAGATTCAGTTTAGCACCAAACCCTGAGACAGAACTCATGTCTAAGGACTTCAGTCTGGATGAAAACATATCAGAAAAAAATAAAAGACAAACATACATTCTTCCTTTGTTTCTCTTTTCTCCTCATCCGTACTGTGTCCATTTTAGGGAGTGGCACTGATGACATGAACTTCCAGGACTTGTTTCTCTGCAGCACTGTCTTTTAAGTGTTCGCGGAAAAAGAAACACAGGATGTGAGAGTGGATTAAAGGACATTTTCAGTATTCGTTCAAAGTCTTCGTGGTTTTATCGTTTATTCTCTGTATTTTTCCATGGTGAGAGTGTGTAGACTGTGCAGGTTGACATCCCAGATCTCCAACCTCCTGGTCGTCTTTAAGAACGCGGACACAAACCATGTTTGAAGTGAAACTCACGGTGTGAACGGCAGACTTTTACCTCTCTGTTTTTCTTAGAGGTGACATCAAAGGTTCATTTATCCCTGACCTGAACAACACACACTTCACTCGTCTCCTTCTCCTCCTTGTCCTCCTTGTCCAGTGAAACCAGACTCTGTCTCTGGTCCTTAGGTAACTGCATGGAATTCTCTCACCTGTTTCTTTTTTTTCTGGTGATGACACGGAACAAATGACGTTATTGTTGTTTAAACTAATAAATTATAGTTTTAAATGATTCTGTCCTGTTGGGTGTTTTTTTATTTAATTTTTTATTTAATTTGAAGTTTTCTTACATTTGTTTACTTTTTTTTTTTTACTTTACATTTTACACTTTACATTTGACATAATTTTCAAGCTGAATGCTGATTGGTTATAGTTAAATGAATGTTCATTATCAGTTAACAGTTATCAGAGGGTTGTGGGTTTGAATCCCAGCTAGGCCCACTGCCCCTTGGAGTGATGGAAAAAAAAAACTGCCTTTGCCGTGAGAAACACCTCCCAAAAATGTAGGTTTGCATTTGACTGATGGTGTGATTCTGACTGAAGCTCAAACGACTCCAAACCACAAACTTCAAAATTCCCTAACTGATGAACTTGACAGTTCACTTCTGTCATGCTGTTGTTTGACTAATAGCAGCCTAAAAAGACAGACGTGTTCACACACACACAGTTACTAACATAAAGAGGCAACAGAGAAATTCCACGGGGAGTTGTCAAGTTAAAGGGGATATCAGTGAGTCACAGTCAGGGATTTTCCTGCAGAAAACAAACATCATCTGACGCTGTTTGGTGACACAGGTACTTTTCATCTTCACACACAATCAACGGAACGACAGAGTTTAGATACATCTGATTCTCCACTGACCGTTGAAGTAGACTCTAAGCTGCTAGCTTTGCAGTCTGGGAGACATATTATTTTGAAAAATTCTATCCTATCCTATCCTTCGGTAAAGAAACAACTGAATCATTAAATGAAGTAAATTATTAATTCTTTCACCGTGGCCCGGTAATAAGTGACCCTCTAAATAAAAGCATACTTTGTTTTTTTGTTTTTCACCTTAAAGCTGCTGAATTACAAAAAAAGATATCGTTCATGGAAATCTATCTTAATGTTGTTGGATTTTTTTATTTATTTATTTTTGTCTCTAAAAATAACTTTCTGTCATTTTTTATTTATCAATTGGGGTCTTATTGGCCAAATGTCAGCCTGGCCTAGCCCAGTGGAAAGTACCAAACCTTTCTTCAGTTCCCACTTTTGTAAATAAGTACATTGCTGAGCCCTCCCTGCCCCTCCTCTGCCCCCGCCCCTCACATTGAAATGACTGGACAAACTGTTTAAAGGTTGAATTTACTTTTTTATGTATAGTTTTTTTCTTAAATGCGTCCTTTTCTGATTTTAATGAACTTGTTAAAACACTCAAATATTGTGGTTCATTTTTTTAAATAACTGGGCCTAAAATGAGCTTGACCAGCGTTACGCACCAGAAACCAGCACTGGTATTGTGGTAATAAAATCTCACTGGTATTAGCATACCAGAGGTCAGAGCAGACTGTGGTATTTTTAGTGTTTTGTTGAATAATTAGGTTTTATTGTAAAATGTAACATGATAATAATCCAAAATGAAGCTTTCGCAGCGGTGTTAGAATTCCCTCTGTGTTTCCACAGAGGTCAGCTCAGGTCAGACGGCTCAACCAGGAAAAAAGAGACACAGACCAAAACACATCAGTGTTAAAGTCTGTGTCCTCGTTGTTTTACGTAACATCAAGGAACCGGTTGCTGATTCTGCTGACTCAGGTCAGGTCATGTTTTACTGTGACCGTGTGACGTGTATTGATGACCGTGAAGATTATTTACAGTTTTTAAAGACTGTCTTTGTTGCTGTTGTAGTAAACTTTATTTTCACACAACCACAACAACAAGTGGAACAGGTTTGTGTAATGGTGGATTTTCCTCAACTGTTACTTTTACTTTCATTTTTATCCACTGTTCTAGAAAAAACTATCTAAACAAAAGCTATCTTTGTATAGTCACAATAAAGTGTTTGTTCTGATGCTGTTTTTGAAACTGTTTTTCATTCAGATTAAAGTGAAGATAAACAATGATTTTTTTCATTAAAAAAACATTCTATACAATTTATTTATTTAATATTTATAGTCTTTTATTGTCATGTTTTAAGTAATGATTTACGAGGTATGAATACACATTGAACTGGGATTAAAAACTTAAAACTGAAATTTATTTGTTTAATTTCTTTGTTTTTCTTTTTCCTTTTCTTCTTTATTTATTTATTTATTTATTTTGAAAAAAATGACAAAGAAAACTTTCAGTATTTTAGCTAGAAAACTTTTTTCCTTGCAGTCATGATCAGTATGACGATATATAAACCATATAAACTCATATGAACCTCATGGATACGAAAAACGATATACATGATTGCACCGATTGGATAAAATATATACATATTATTTTCATTCAAAAATAATTTTTCATTCAATTTTCGTACTCTAACACACCTGGTTTCTGAAGTCTTTATATATATTTTTTTGTTTTTCAATTGTCTATAATCTTTCGTTTGCCGTGGCACTCGTTGTTTCAACCCCTAGGTTTTTTTCTTTCCCGGAAACTTTAACTGTAACTTTGTCTACGTAGTGAAGTCACGTGGCAGTTACCAGAGAGTGTATGGCGTTGTATTTAAATCCAGGAAGTTCAGTTCATTTGAGCGTAACTTTGAAGTAGGTCGAATCCGACGTGGAAGCAGGTGATTCTTTCGACCTTTATTCCTTTGTGTGTGTGCGTGTGTGTTTATCAAAAACTTTTTCATTCAGGATTTACCGTAAGTATGTTTTTCAACTTCCGTTTTTGAATAAAATCCATTTTGTTTTGTGTGTTTTTTGTGTTTGTCACTTTGAACACCGGGTAAAAGTTGAATTAAACGAGCTGACGTCAGAACCAAACTGACGAAACAGTTGTGTTAAACTTCCAGTGAACATTAATTCTTATAGATATTCACTGGACATTAATGCTGATCCATAGCGATGCGTGTTACTGTGACGTAGCTTCACTTGTTTACGAACAGGAATTTCAAACAACAATTACAAACAAACTCTGATGAACTGGTTTTATTTAAAAGTTAAAGTTTTTAAAAAAAAGTAAAACACTTAGTGGTCTTTTCTTGATGTCAAAGATTGTATTTAAATGAAGTTCAGTGAATGTCGCTCACGTTCCTCGCGGGCGTGGTTTACAAAGAAAGTCAAGTTACAGATCATTTTTATTTAAAGACAAATAACAGCGGACAGTTCAAGGTAAAACGTAGACTGTCGAGATGTATTTTAAATTGAATTCTTTTTTTGTAGAATGACCCATAACCAAACTGTCGAGATGTATTTTAAATTGAATTATTTTTCTGTAGAAATTATGTTTTATGTATTATTTTCTAAGCTGTGTAAAGCTCTTGTAGAAGACCGACGACTAACAAGAAAGATTTCTATATACCTAACTGAGCTCTCATCAAATCTGGCGAACGGCGGAATTCTTACTTTTATTGTGGATTAAGAAAAGGGTCATTTGTATTATTGTTTACACAATGTGACAAGAATCTGTGAAATCTTGTCCACAAACTAAATATTTAGACTTTAATAAATATTTGTTGTTAAATAAACATACTTCAAAAACACATTGATACAATTAATGAACTTTGTTTGTAGTTTTTAATGATTAGTAGATTAGACATTTGTCATTCAATAACTTTTGAAACCCCAGTTGAGTTTTTTTATTTTACGCATAATAAATATATAGCAAAAATTAATCAGATTTGACAATGATGTTAATGTTTTATTTACATTTACATTGATTTACATTTGATAAATAACACTTAAGTTTTTCTTAATCTTGATTGGACCCAAGAATATGTTTTACTTTGAGGAGAAGCACGTGGAGATGATTATTGTTGATGATATAATGTATAAAATTAATGAATGTATGCATTCATTAAGAGATTAAAGATGAATTAAAACGAATTTAATTTCATTTAATCTCTTTGCTGCTTTTCCATCCGTTAGCGAGCTGACATGGCGAACGGACATGTAGAAATCTACGACCCGTTGTCCAACAAGGACGGACAAAAGAGCAGCGTAGATGGAAGTGATGACGACGACGGCGCTGATGGGATGGAGGGCACGCTGGAGTTCAAACTCCTCATGGTCTACACCAAGAGGAGGCGTGACGAGCATGATGGAGGTCAGACTCCTGAACCCAAGGGCCCTCCAGTGGAGAACCTGAGTAACTTTGACAACAACGTCACCGACAAGAAGAAAGGAAAAAAGAAGAAGAAAAAGAAGGGATTTAAAAAATTCTTCAAATTCAGCTGCATCAAACCAAAAACGTCTGATGACGACGTAGGACAAGAGGCTTGTGCCCCAGAACCTGAATCAGACAACAGGATGTTAATTCCCCGTAAGTATCAACACACCTTACATATGATATACGCTATATATTTATATCACAGTGTTATTGTTTATCGGCAGTCATTTTTGCGACAGTATATTGTCCAGCAAAACTTTGTAGTCGTCCCAGGCCTGCCTCTAAAACAAGTCCATGTCAGTTGGACAAAGGAACCACAGCAGCTTCAACCTTTTATTATTTCTTTTAGACATAGATGAAAAAGAGGAGCTGGAAGACGCCGCCGGTGAGCTGGCTAAGATCGCTGATGAAGTCCCCTTCGTTCCATCAGAACTGCAGACGGACTGTCCAGGTGAGGTTTGACCTTTGTACATGGAATCATTAACCAAATAAAACCGTCTGTGTGTGGGTTGTTAGATCCCAGGTCCCACTGAGAACACCTACACTCTCATGACTCATATCTGATTGGCCCTCTGTGGAAGGGTTAGGACCAATAGCCCTCGAGTCACGATTGTACTCACCACTTCACTCACTTGTCCTCGTGGGAGTCACTTAGGCCGACGGGCGAGGTGACTCGTCCGGGTTCTAACTGTCGTTCATCTGAATCTCCAGCCCTAATACAATGCTTACTCATTGTACCATTGGCTAATTGTGCATGCTCTTCTGTTCCTCACACTGATTGGCTCATGTGTCGTAGCATCTCCCCTCGTCTGTCAGTCACTCTCTCGTGGCCATTATACAACTTTACTGTGTATGGAATTGTGTGGGGAAGGGTAACACAGTCTAGGGAGCGTTGTAAAGGGTAAATATATACATAAACACTACAATAACTATCTCGTCTATACTTTGCCGATTTTCCCTTTTTCGTGGTAGGTCTTGGAACGCAACTACTGCGACAGAAGAGGGATCACTGTGTTGCGTTACCCGCAAATATAAATGAACGCAACTACTGTGACAGAAGAGGGATCACTGTGTTGTGTTACCCGCAAATATAAATTATTCCATTTCAAAGAAATCACACATTTCCTCTGTTTTATAATTATGATTTGATTCATATTAATCATTTCTCATGATGACCTCTTAATGTCAACTATTGTCTCTAAGTCAGCGTTTTGCAACCTTTTTTGAGCCACGGCACATATACAGTATATCATCAGGAAAACCCCACGGCACACCACCAATCACAGCTCTCACAAAACATATATGTAATGGAATAAATGATCTCATGATTGACTAAAATCTAAGTACTTTCTCCAGAATTTGACTCACTTATAAAATTCCTCGTATTATGGATGTGCCTCAACAGGTTTTTCACATTCCGGTTCGTGACCTCATGATGCTGAGCTCAGCTCTTCTTGACAGGGTTCAACACTGAATACGTCACTGCTCAAGTGTTGTTCAAGTCTTTTTGATCCTCAGAATGATTTTTCATGTTCTGACACTTTTGGTGTAGATGACGTGGAGAAGCTGATCGCTCTGGTGCTGCGGGAGGCTGGAGACGGACTCAACGAGCGGGTGAGGAATTCCCTTCTTCATCACTTTCTGTTTCACATCTCAAGCCCTGACTCCATGCGGTTATTTACTATGAAACGACCCGTGTTCACAAGTTCTGTTAAATCAAGTATCACTCCCGGTGGCTGAAATGTCTGAGCTGCAGCATGAACAACATACAGAAAGTCACTGATTCCTAGGAAGGTCACGGTGTCGAGTGTTTTCTTCACTTCTCTTTCACACCATGACACATGAACTCTGCTCTTTTCTGCCTCCAGGAGCTGAAGAACATGTCTTTATTCAAAGAGATCATCTGGAACTACAGCTTCTATAAGAAGGTAATGAACGGGCTCCTCAGCGCCATGGGCCTCAGTTCTGCTGACCCTGATTCTCCAGGTCCACACGCGTCACCCAAAACCCAGATCGCAGTCACCTGTGAGGTAAAACCAAGCTACAGTGATGAGGACACAGCTACTGATCAGAGTCAATCCTCCTCTGCACGACTAACCTGGGTTTTCTTTTTCTTCTTTTCATCAGGCCACGAGCCGTTTGTCATCTCTGGACACTCTGCCCATGAACCGACTGCTGGGCTTTGGAGCCAGGTTTCTTAAGGAGTACTACTCGTCCTGGGTACAAGAACAGGGCGGATATGTACGTGAAACCAACCCTCACCTTTACACACCTTTGCACCAGCGTGGTGACGCTATAAAGTTGGTTTAAGATAATGATTATGCTGATACTATCACTACTTCCTGTGTGAGGATCAGCCATTCACTGCTGGACCACTATGATGAATCATAACTAGCTAAGCACCACTGTTCATTTAGCCTAGCGCTAATGAAAAGCAGCTACATAATACAGTATAAACCCTTGAGGAACCACTAGACTACATCCGTGATTCTTAACCATAGGGCCGCAGCCCAAACCTGGGCCACCAGCGTCACATAATTGGCCACAAAGATTCAGTTTTGCACTTGTGAAGCTTTCGACCATGTGGTGGCGGTAATGCGCCAGTCAGTTCAGTTATAAGCTCTAATATACAGAGAAGAAGGCTGTCTTTTTCTCTACGCAGCTTTACTTCAAACATATGAAGTTTTTGAAACGATAAAGTGAAGATGAACATCGTGTGAACACCCCAGAAGACTAAAGATTTGCGTAGGAACAATGCCGACTTCGTCATATCTAATATTCAACAGTCTCCGGGCCACTTTGTTCTATCAAGGTTAGGCCTCAAGGTCGAAAAGGTTAAGAAGTAACAAACTTAACTACTAACTAGTGGCTAACCAGGAAACAACCTCTTTATACAACATTGTTTTTTCTAACTCCAGGATTGTAATCTAATTCAGAATATCAAAAAAAAAATTTAGAAATAAATAAATTAACCTTCCCAGATGTAAAATGTATGAAGATGTGAAAATGTGCTGGACTGAAATGTAACGTGTGTTAATATCTTCAAACCTTCAAATCTTCCTTTGTCCAGGAGGTGGCCTTTGAGAGCGAGGCAGAGGATGAAGTGGAGTGACGAGTGAAGCTCTTTGCTGCTTCCTGTTGTCACTGCATACAGATCTAAGAACTGCTCACACGTCGACCTCTGGTGTGAAAGGATCATCGGTCAGGAGTCGGTCTCCAACACCGCCACCTCTTCCCAAGCCCCCGCAGGCTCTGAACGGAATAACACAAAAAATGAAATGAGACGTGTTCAGAGGCTAAAGGATGGATTTTGCGGCGGAATATTGGCTTTCTGTGACATTTCATGTACACTCTAAGGCATGTCAAACATACGGGGCGCGGGTCAAAACCAGACCGCTTAATGAATTTTGCAAATAAAAAAAATACATATCCTGAATACTTCATGTTCAGGATGTGGCCCCTGAACCAAAATGAGTTTGACAGCCCTGCCCAGTCTGTGGGAGCCAACAGTGTCTTTGTACTGTACAGTGTGCTTTAGTTTTGTTGTGTTAGTAGTATATATAATAAATTCTGCTGGGGTATCAGGTTAGTCAACACTTATGATGTCAAAATATCATTAGAAAATTGAATCTAATGAGTTGAATATTGATGAGCACTTATGCACTTTTACACTACGGATACATCTACACAAAAATCTTTATGCTTGTGCTGAGGGACGCTGTGTTTGCTTTATTTAATTGTTCTGGTGATGGGTACCTTATTTTAACTGGAAACATATTGATTATCAATAAATAATATTAATTTTATTTTATTTTATTTTTTACTTTTTCTCTCTCAATTTGTTTGGAAGAAAAAGTTCTATTATTTGAGGCTCGGGAAACAGCACCCCCCTGTGGCTGAAGTCGTAACAATAAATGCTGGAGCTGTGAATCCCCTTGTTTATTATTTACCTGTGTTCTTTTATCATGCACATACGGGCTTTGAAACATTACACTTTCTGCTGGCACAAAAATTAACTTTGATATAGACCAAATGTGTTTATTATTTTTAGGTGTGTGTTTTTTTGATTGGCTTCCATTCAATGCAACAGAATGTTTAAATTATTTTCTTTTGTTATCTTCCATTGTTGGCTTCATGCTCAAGTGTTAGGCAAAGATGCAGTAGTATACAGTACAGTCTGTTTCCTCAGACACAGGCGTTGTAAAAAGTTATGATTTAATTTAGTTTAATTGGAGACAACGTGGCAGAACAATACTGACTGGTTTCTCTCGCCGCAGCACTCCTGCTGCTGCTGCCATCGACCAATCACGAGCAGGACAGTAGCGAGAGAGACTGACTGTGTGAGGACAGGCAGGTGGGGATCCAGACCTCTGCAGCTCCATCACTGGCTGGACTCAACTGTTGCTGTGAGTTTGTAAAGTTATGTTTATCAGATGTGTTGTTGAATTCAGTTCTGATAGTTTCACTAGTGTCCACACCCATGTCTGAATGGGACAGAACCTCGTTCCAAAGGTTCTGGTTTTGGATCAGAATGAAGACATGACTATGTAAATTTGTTACATCAAAGTCAGCTTTAACTTTCTTCTTCAATTCTAGTCTGTGTGGGGTCAGTCTAAGGTCATGACAGGTCAGCTCTGAAGACCTTTTTATGTTTAGTGGTTTTAGTGGTTTGTTTTTGCCATTTCTACAAGACCTGGTTAAATCTAAAAACAATGGAGACGAGGTCCAAAACCTGGTCCTCGTGAGTCTTTGATCCCCGGGTCCAAACCTGAATGGAGATGTGAACCACAGGGTTTGGTTTGGACTGTGATTGGTTGTAGTGTGTTGGCTCTGATGAGGCAGAATGGAAGTGAACTGTCAACAGTACTGCAGTGTCTGAGCAACCGGCCTTCTAGAAAAATGCTGTTGTTTCCGTGAAGCTAGGATATCAAACAAACGGCCTGTGGGCCAAAACCGGCCCACTAAGGCAGCGTTTCCCAAACTTTTCTGAGGACCCATATTTTAAAAGTCACAAATGTTGCAACCCAAGTCAGTAGACATTATTCGTAAACTCCTGGGAAACATGACGCAAGACAACCCTAAAAAAAAAATCTCTTGTGATCCACTTGATGGTCGCGACCCAGTGTTTGGGAAACAATGCACTAGGGTATTTTTTTGTAAAATTATATTTCATTAGAGATGAATAAATATTAGTAAACATCTTATATATATGTACTTGTTTGCATGAAAACAAAGGGGTAAACATGGACGTATTATTTATAGTTAATTATGTTATGATTGTACTGGTCCGGGCCACTTGATACCTGATTAGGTTGTATGAGGCCCGTGAACCACAGTAATTTGACAGCCCTGTCGTAGAGGAATCCAGACCAACCAGATCTGACTCCTGTTCTTCCTGGCTGGTGTCACTCCTGTTGTGTCTTCAGTCTGAGCAGCGTCTGAAAACTCAACTTTTGTCTTTGGTTTATTCCCTTTAAAGTCAAATTCAGCTTCTGTCGCTGCACCAGGATGTCAGAGACGATGATGAAGACGAGGATGCCTCCACTGCTGCTCTGTCTGCTCCTCCTCATCCTCCGGGGAGAGAGTAAACCCACAGGGATGAGAAACCGAGTGCACCAGGAGGAGGCGCTCAGTGAACTGGAGCACGACGATGAAAAAAACTACTACTTTGACCACGAGGTTTTTCTGGGCAAAGAAGACGCGAAAGTCTTTACGCTGCTGACGCCCGAGGAGAGTAAACAGCGGCTCAGGTGAGTTCAGTCCCATCATCTTAGAGATGTATGATCAATACAGTCACACGTCTGAGCACAGCTGTCAGCTTCATCAGTAGTCCAGTGACATTATTGATTAGATGGAACCTGGACCCACGTGTTGTCACCTTCCTGTCATAAACTCCATTGGTGGTTGCCTAAGGTGCCATCTGCTGGAGAGGGTGATGCCATTACACCTTACAAAAGTACAATTACAATGGAGTTGGGGGAGTAAACTATACACACAGGCAGTAGTGTGCACATATGAACACTAGGTGGTGCTGAAGAGCCTGCTCTTTTGCCCTCAGTACCAAGGAAGTGCCCTTTTGAATTTTCTTTTCTTATCAGTCAATGATCAGTCATTTATAATAATAATTAATTATAATAATTATTAATTTTGATGTTACAAAACTCAAGCAGTATTTTTTATTTACCTTACTAGCCTATTTATAGACATGATCATTTGTGTTTTTTCCAAAGCTAAAGACCATAGTTCATTCATTCGATATTGAAATAAAAAAAATGACGTACAACATGTGCCTGTAATGTTTGTTTGTTTTTTAAATCTCACACTGCTAAGATAAGGTGGTCACACATGCACGCCACTGCACACAGGACACAGGAACTGTTCCGAATGATGTGAAGTTTTGTTATACAATTTTCAAGGAGTCCTCGAATGTGACACGAAGGAACTCTAACATTTCCACCTCCGCCGTCTCTCTGCAGCATCATAGTGGACAAGATGGACGTGGACAACGATGGAGCCATCTCGCTGAAGGAGCTCTCCCTCTGGGTGAAGCACGCTCGGGCCAAAAACATTTTCAGAGAAGTGCAGAACCGGTGGAAAGAATTTGACGCCAACGAAGACGGTATGATCAGCTGGGACGAGTACAAGAACACCACCTACGGACTGTTCCTGGGTATAACCACTGTAACACAGAGGGAAGTTTTCAGATCAAAGCATAATGATGTTCTAATCCGTTCTCTGATTGGCTGATTGCAGCGCAACCTGAGCTGGCTGACCACGACCACACCAGGATGGCCCAACGGGACGAGAGGCGTTTCCGAGCGGCAGACAGGAACGGAGACATGATGGCCGACCTGAAAGAGTTCACTAATTTTATTTATCCCGACAGCTTTCCTCACATGAGGCACATTGTGGTGCAGGTGATAGTGATGTCATCGATGACAGCTCACCGTGATGTCATCGACCCTGAAATAATCCATCAACTTGATTGTTTTTCTCCTCACTGTGACAGGAAGCAATCGAGGACCTGGACAGGAACAACGACGGTGTGATTGATGAGAATGAATACATCGGTAATCTAATAACCATATACAGTACAATCCGCTAATCTAGTTATTTAATCTGATCACTTCCGGTTGCACATTATACTATGTGTAGATAATGTGACTGATTTCCTCCTGTTATAGGTGACGTAATTACTGATGCTGACACAGATAAGGATCTTGATTGGATGACACGAGAACGTCAGGCCTTTAAAGAATCGAAAGACAAGAACAAAGACGGGGTCATGGACAAAAAGGAAATCCAGGACTTGATTTTCCCGCCAGATTACGACTTCACTGATGTGGAGGCGAGACATCTGGTTAACACCACAGACGCCAACAAGGTCAGATGGTTTGAAGTTCTACTGTATATGTTAATGTGTTTAAAATAACTTTTGCTCATGTTTATCTGTGTGGGGTTTTTTTCAGGATGGTAAACTGACAAAGGAGGAGATTCTGGACAAATACCAAGTTTTTGTAGGAAGTCATGTGACAAACTATGGGAAGGCCTTACACGATGAATTTTAGAAACAAGAACAACATTCTGGAGTTCTAAGAATGTATTTGTTTTGAAAAAGTTCTGAAAAGTTTACTTTGGAAAAGGAGGTGGAATTAGGCATATTTACTATTTCCTTTTTTTTTTGCACTGGGCACTTCTTTCTTCTCTGTTGTTTGTGCAGTTATCAAATAAAAACATATGACTTTTTTTTCTTCTTATTTATGTTGTGGTGAACCTTGATCTTTGTGATTGTAGAAAAATTATTCTATTGCTCTTAATAACAGACATATATTCTGAAATATACTTTTGTTATTTTACAAACATGATAAATAGATTAGCACAGGAACCATAAAAGATGATCCTACAAATTATACAATTATTATTATTATTATTATTATTGTTATCATTATTATTATTTCTTAGTGTTAAGAATTTAAACTAGATTTACGATATGAAGAAAAGTCACTGGTCGATAGGACCATCAGTTTGTATAAAAAGAAAACTGATATACTGTAATTTGGTCAGAATAATGGTAAAATTATTCAAATTTAAAATTATTAATAAGGGTCGAAGGTTCAGTTCCACACAGTATATCTACGCGTTGTTCCTTGTCATCACCAGTAAAATAATAATAATAATAACAATAATAATAATGTTAATGTTGACCACGGACCAGCAGCGCTACTGCATGTAAACCGATCGATAGCCCCTCCCGTCCTTCTGACAAAGCGGAACTTTTTGTTTCTGCTCGTGTTTCCAGCCGGACGTGTCGCCGTTGCACGCGGGAAGACTATGCGAGATGGCGGTCGACATCCAGGCCGTGTAGGAACCTTCCAGATCTGCCTTTTTGGTTACTTTTCTGCCTGACTAACACCATTCTCTGACCCGAGCCATGGACGGGGCTAAACCGAGCCTGGCCCTGGTTTACCAGGCAGTCCAGGCCCTGTACCACGATCCGGACCCAGCCGGGAAGGAGCGAGCGTCGGTGTGGCTCGGAGAGCTGCAGAGATCGGTAAGAAAATGGGAGAAACCCTGGGGAGCAGATGGAATTGTTTTTGTTGATTAAAAATGGTCTGGAGTCTTCTGACTAGTACCAGGTCCAAACCAATACATGCAATACAAAAGATTTGCTCCGGTGTTGTGACTTGTAAAGCGGTTTCCGTTAGCATCACAGCTAATCCAGACTAACTGATGAATGAATGGATTAAAACACAGAACTTTGGCCTGCGCTAACCTGGGAGTTGTGGCATAACTACAACTTTGTGTTTTCTCGTTGTCCCGGTTTTAGTTTTAACTATACATTTGATAGATGAGTAAAATTATTTTCGGCATTTTGTGTACCATCAGGGCCCGGTCGAGCTCTGTTAGCATGTTAGCCTGACAGCTGTGGCTCAGTTTACTCATGACTCATGAGAAACAAACCAAACCAAGTTTGGCAGTGACTCTAACAAAGCTTCATATATACAATATTTAATGAAAAAAAAAACGCGTATCTTAAATAAATACTTGTTGAAATTACGTCATAGTCACTGTGTATTCACTGTGTGTGACCGTCAACCTCACCCATGTGAAATTGCGTGTACTTCTTAAACTAGCGTAATCTGAGCAGCCGCAGATGTATATTCTTAAAGCAAGAGGCAAAAAAACATTACAAACCACGACAATAAAAACTTTAGAACTTTTTAGGTTGAATATACAAAAACTGTTGGGGCACACGTGACTGCAACTATTAACTGTTCCACTTTCTTTGGCTTTGTTATAGCAACTTCTAAGTTCATTATTTGAGTTAGCTTAGCATTAACTAACAAACTTGTTGTCGAGTTTACATTTACTCCTATTATATACGTTATATTTGGCCAGTCTGGAGCTGACTTATCAAAAAACTTTCTACAAGTCTTTCTTTTAGTATACTGTATTGTATTATTATTTTTTAAGTTTAAAAAATATTCAGGGAATAAATTCGTGTAAATCAACTATGTTGTCCGTTGTACTGTATATCGTATCACAAACTCAACTCATGCACTAGGACGTTAGAGCTGCGTCATAGCACCACCTACAGGGGACAGAAGGGATGGACATATGTAAAGAGGAGCGAAAATTTGAATGTCATTTGTTAAAGAATGTACTCTTTCTGATGTGGTCATTTCCTGGTTTGTTTTCAGATGTATGCGTGGGAGGTCTCAGATCAGCTGCTGCAGCTTAAACAGGACGTGGAATCATGTTACTTCGCCGCACAGACGATGAAGATGAAAATCCAGACATCCTTTTACGAGCTTCCACCTGAGACCCACAATGCATTGAGGGACTCCCTGCTCACACATATCCAGAACTTAAAGGACCTTTCACCCATCATCGTCACACAGGTAACATAACTGGTTTGGTCACAGATACTTTTGTTTACAGTGAACCTACTCCTGGTCTTTCATATGGTGTTGGTTTCCCTCTGTCTGATTGGTTGGTATGTTCCTTCACAGCTCGCTCTGGCAATTGCAGATCTCGCTCTTCAGATGGCATCATGGAAAGGATGCGTTCAAACACTAATAGAAAAGTGAGATTTATTGTCTTTTTTATTCTAACATGGTGAGTTTCAGTTTAATACAGTGAAAGTGAAATAACATGTCTGTGGCTCCATCCCCCATCCCCCTCCCTCCATCTCTCAGGTACAGCACTGACATCAGCTCGATGCCCTTCCTGGTGGAGATCCTCACTGTGCTTCCAGAGGAAGTTCACAGTCGATCGTTGCGAATCGGAGCCAATCGCAGGACAGAGATCATTGAAGATCTGGCCTTTTACTCCACCACAGTGGTCACTCTGTTGGTCAGTTTCATCTCAGGCAGATTATCACGGGGGGTGGAGGTGGCTGTAACTCAGGAGGAAGTCTGAAGACCATTAACTATTATTAATTTTAACTGAAGCTAGTTTGTCCCTTTTATCATTTTTAATCACAGATATTTGTTAGCATCCCTTTAAAGCAGCACTGTTCTTAAATAAGTGTTTGATATTGCTTTTCTATTGGCTGAATTGTTTTCAAGATCTTTTCGTTAGCTTTTTTTATGTTTCAGTTTGTTTTCTAAGATTGTGATTTTTAGTTTACTTTCAGTTCAATTTCACTCATTTTTGGACGCTTTATAAACACCTATTTGGCTAACCTATTTTGTTATGCCTCTCTGGCCTTTCAGGCCTAGCTCCATCTCTTTTCATAAGTCTGGCTGCTATTAACCTTTTTTTCCATGTATGACGTACTTAAACTTCTATGGCATTTTTTCAGCTTTTATTTTGCTAACTCTTAGCTGTTTTGCTTGGATACAGTTGACCTATTAGAATAAGTTAAAGTTATCTTTTACACATGGGTTAACCAAAGCCCCTGTTATTCTAACATTAAGCTCTCAGTCAAATATTTCAGATACATTTCTCCTAGGTCTGTGGTTAACAGTTTGTTGTTGATCTCAGACCACGTGCGTGGAGAAGACTGGTGACGATGAGAAGATGCTGATCAAAGTGTTCCGGTGTTTGGGCAGTTGGTTCAACCTTGGAGTCCTGGACAGTAACTTTATGGCCTCAAACCAGCTCTTCATGGTTGTCTTCCAAGTTTTGGTGAGTGTCACACTGTTGTCGTTGTTTACTGTGTTAATGCACTTCCTGTTTACATCGAAGATGGGGAAGGTTAAAATGAGAATTTTTTTTTCCAAAGCAAAGGGATGAAACTTCCACCAACCTCCACGAGGCGGCGTCCGACTGCGTCTGCTCTGCTCTCTACGCCATCGAAAACGTCGACACGCACATGCCGTTGGCCGTGCAGCTGTTCCGCGGCGTCCTAACGCTGGAGACGGCGTATCACATGGCGGTTGCGCGAGAAGATCTGGACAAGTGAGTTAGCGAGAAAGAAGCATTTGTAGCTCCTGTTGACCCGGAGATCGTCGTCACTCACAGAGGTGTTTGTTTGTTGTTGTTTTTTTCTGTCTGTGTCAGAGTTCTGAACTACTGCAGGATCTTCACTGAGCTCTGTGAGACATTTCTGGAGACCACAGTCAGGAGTCCAGGTCAGGGAACTGGAGACCTGAGAATGCTTGAGCTGCTGCTGATCTGTGCGGGGCATCCCCAGTACGAGGTACAACAACAAAACAGTCGCATGGCGACTACCACAGCCTGTCAGTGTGTCACATCCTTCACGATAGATGGTCGGTCAATTATGAAGTTATAATCGGAGCTAACACAGCACCTCTCTGCTACTCTGGATGTTATAACTAAGAATGTCAATATTGCTTTGACCCAACAAAAAGAGTGAAGTGAGAAAGTCCTAGTTTCAACATAATGGATTTAATAAAATATTTAATGGTTTGCCATTTCAAAGAAGCAAAACAGAGTGGAGACTGAAGCAGCTGTGGCTGCAGTAGCCCATAGCCAAGACAGGGGCTAAAACCTGAAGAACAGGACAGATATTTCTGCCCAACAAGTTTGACAAGTGGCTGTACTTCTCAGACCAGCCTTGTGTGGTGTAGTAAAATTCTGTAACTTAAAATACAGGTGATTATAATAATATAATACAGTGTTATATACTATTAAGACATATGCTCTTGATGACTTAATTGACATTCAGATTTAGGAATTTTTTAGGATTGATTGTCTTTACAACAGAAAAAACAATGTTAAAATTGTTAAAATATTAGACCAAGAATGGAAACTTTTTTAACTTTAACTTCTAACTCTAACCTTTACTTTTTTACTCACAGGTTGGAAATAAGATAAATGACATGTAATAGTCAAACAAAAATATAAATATTTAATATTTAATTATATAATTTGGGCAAGTACTGTGGGCCAGAATAAAATGCCAAATGGGCCATATATGGCCCCCAAGCCTTAGTTTGCCCATGCTTGTTTAAGGCCACCATCGGAGTATATCTTATATTTAGGTCAACATAAACACCAGGTTACTGAATGCTGATGATTGTACAGTTGGTGCCTCAAGTCTCTGCTCAGATGCTCCTTTCTTTGTCTGTTGCACAGGTGGTGGAGATCTCCTTCAACTTCTGGTACCGACTGGGAGAACATCTGTACAAAATCAACGACCCGGCACTCAACACCATCTTCAGACCGTACATCCAGAGACTCCTCCACTGTTTGGCTCGACATTGTCAGCTCGACCCCGACCACGTGAGGCTTTGAAACACCAGGGTTCTGTCTGTTCCTGTTCCTGTCTGATCCGTGACAATAAAGCTTTTTCTAATTACTGTGATCAACAGGAGGGCATCCCAGAGGAAACAGACGACTTCGGAGAGTTCCGGATGAGAGTGTCTGACCTCGTCAAGGACGTCATTTTCCTCGTCGGGTCCATGGAATGTTTTTCTCAGGTAACAAAAAAAGTTTGTTAAAGTTAAATTCCAAATTAAAAATTAAATAAGATGAATTCATTTTAAGTCGTACCTGCCTTTTTTTTTTTTTTTGCTCCTTAACAGCTCTACTCAACGTTAAAAGATGGCAGCCCCCCCTGGGAGGTCACAGAAGCCGTCCTCTTCATCATGGCTTCCATCGCCAAAAGTGTCGACCCGTGAGTTTTGCACCTGAGGCCACTTTCAGTTTCCCGCTTCCGGTTCTTGATTAACACTGACGTGGTTATTTTCACCGGCAGAGAAAACAATCCAACACTGTCCGAGGTGCTGCAGCAGGTGGTTCTACTTCCTGAGAACGTCCACGTGGCAGTTCGCTACACGAGCATCGAGCTGGTCGGTGAGATGAGCGAGGTCATGGACAGAAACCCGAGGTTTTTAGGTAAAAATGGTTGTAAAATCTGGCATCGTTAGGAAAGGACATCTATGTGTGCCTTACGTGTTCACGAAAGTCATGTTTGCTTCCTGTCAGACCCTGTGCTGAGCTACCTAATGAAAGGCCTCAGAGAAAAACCACTGGCGTCGGCAGCTGCCAAAGCGATCCACAACATCTGCTCGGTGTGCAGAGACCACATGGCACAGCACTTCCATGGACTTCTGGACATCGCCCGGGCTCTGGACTCCTTCGCCCTGTCCACAGAGGCTGCCGTAGGGCTGCTTAAAGGTGAGGCACACCTGTACTGATGTCATTGGGGTTGTATAAGTGAGAAAGAGTGACATCATCTGGTCACTTCCTCCACTTTGATTTATTAACCAACCATATCTGTGCAGGCACGGCTCTGGTCCTGGCTCGTCTTCCCCTGGAGAAGATTGCCGAGTGTCTCAGTGACCTTTGTGCGGTTCAGGTGCTGGCTTTAAAAAAGGTCAGAGGTCACAGTCGATCGCCAAAACCTTTTATAGCAAAACCACCAAAACCTGTCCTGTTTTTTTTTTATATACATATATGAAATTTCTTGTTTCAGCTTCTGGCAGAAGAATCTTCAAACGGCAAAACGGCAGATCCTACAGTGTGGCTCGACCGACTAGCCGTAATCTTCAGGTGAGTTCCTGTGTTCGTGGAAAAAACATTTACACTGTTCCACACTGGCTCGCTGGCTCACTCATTCACCTGTATTTTTGTGCTTTAGACACACAAACCCCATCGTGGAGAACGGACAGACTCATCCCTGCCAGAAGGTCATCCAGGAGGTAATTAACCCTGTACACGCCAGCAGCTCATGTGGTCCACCTGTATATAATGTCCGGGTCATGTGACCCACCTGTCCACATTATGAGTCATGCCATCTACCTGTAAGTCATTGTTCTAGTCCAAGTGACTCCTTTTAGACCATCACATGGGTTACGGTAAAGCACAATATGGTGTCATGTGACCCACCCTTAAGTTATATCAGTCATGTGACCCACCTGTTTACAGTAACAAAGTCATGAGACCCTGCTGTGCAATTTATAAGCCTTATGATGTAAATACTATCCCAGTCATTTGACCCACCTGTGTATACTATCTGAGTCATGTGACCTTCTTGTGTTCACCCTGTAGATCTGGCCCGTGCTCTCTGACACCTTGAACACATATCAGGCTGACAACAGGATTGTAGAGCGATGCTGTCGATGCCTGAGGTTCGCAGTCAGGTGTGTCGGAAAAGGCTCCGCCTCCCTGCTGCAGCCGCTGGTCACACAGGTGAGTCAGAGTGCACGTCTGTAAATGACATAGACCTGTAGGAGCTGTAGGATTTTTCACTAATGTGTTCTGTGATTGGTCAGATGGTGAGTGTGTACCAGGTTTACCCACACTCCTGCTTCCTATACCTGGGCAGCATCCTAGTGGACGAGTACGGTATGGAGGAGGGCTGTAGGCAGGGACTGCTCGACATGTTACAGGTAAAATAACCTCTCTCTCTCTCTCTCTCTCTCTCTCTCAGCTGAGTATGTTTCCAATAATAGACCCGAACAATAAAAACATTTTCATCCTGGTTCTCCTCCTCAGGCTCTCTGTATGCCCACCTTCCAGCTGCTGGAGCAGCAGAACGGTTTGAGAAACCACCCCGACACTGTGGACGACCTGTTCAGGTTGACGACCAGGTGCGTGGCCGATCATCTGACCAAGTGTGGTTTGAGTTGTTCTGCAGACTTACCCACAGTTTACCGCTGACGTTCCCAGGTTCGTTCAGAGGAGTCCCGTCACGTTACTCAGCAGCAGCATCATCATTCACGTCATCCAGTGCGCTATCGCCGCCACGTCATTGGACCATCGAGACGCCAACTGCAGCGTCATGAAGTTTGTCCGAGACCTCATCCACACTGGAGTGGCCAATGATGTGAGTGACGCAAGTCTTAACAAGGTCGTCGTACCGTTCTCAGTATCATTAACGCGATGTACGATTCCGTAGCACGAGGATGACTACGAGGTGCGGAAGCAGCTGATTGGTCAGGCCCTGGGGCAGCACGGTCAGCAGCTCATCACACAGTTAATGCACTCCTGTTGTTTCTGCCTGCCACCGTACACACTGCCCGACGTGGCGGAAGTCCTGTGGGAGCTCATGTTGTTCGACCGACCAGTGAGTAAACACACCGTCACCTCTAGTCAGTCATGTGATGGTCAGGTGACCCCAGAAGGTTCTTACTACTTTCCCATTGGTTACAGACATTCTGCCGCTGGTTAGAAAACGCACTGAAAGGTTTACCGAAGGAGACGTCAGGAGGCGCCGTGACCGTCACTCACAAACAGCTGACTGACTTCCACAAACAGGTCACCAGGTGAGTCAGGACTGGTCACAGCCATTACTTCTTAAGTTTATGTAACTGTTGCTGGGCAAAAGTTAAAATGTTAAACAGCATTTTTTTTCTCCCCATTCCACCCTACAATAAGGTTTGTTTGTTATAACTCAACACAGTTCTGTCAGACTTTCTCAAGCATTAGCTGTGAGATGGGAGAAACAGACTGGTTATTCATGTTGATACCCGTCAGGGTGTAGGACGTCACAGCAGGTTTAAACCTGTCCTGAATCAACGTCTGAATTTGTAAAGCTCACCCAGTTCTGTTTAGAAAATCAGCATAAATCAAACCTGATCAGGGTTTTACCTACAGTTCTGATGTGTTTAATAAACACAAAACATGTAAAGAATATCGCCACCTATAGGATTGAAGGTTACAGCTGTGCATTTTCTTTGTTTTTTTTTCAGTGCTGAGGAGTGTAAACAGGTTTGCTGGGCCATCAGAGAGTTTACCAGACTGTTCCGGTAGCTGCAATCTTCATATGATACTAGGTAACTGTTCACACCACACCAGCCTTAGATTTACAGCATCACATCACAGCATTCACACCACGCCAGGTCAGCATATACAACAAGCAGCCCACCACACATGGTCAATGTTGACATTGCTCTTTGCAAATATTCACACTAGAACAGGAAACTGTTCATTCCACACCTGAGGGACCAATCGTGTCAAACATACGGCCCGTGGACTAAAACAGGCCTGTTTGACGAATTTTGAAAATAAAATAATACACAAACATTTCATGCTCAAGGAATGTTTTATAATGTTCTTTCACTGAATGTGAAGATTTGTATTATGTACTTTTTTGGGTGAAAACCAAGGGGAAAAGGACGGACTTTATGTTATTAATAGGTAATTATGTTACGATCGTACTGGTCCGACCTGCTTGACGTTTAAATGGGTTTGACAGCCCTGCTCTAGACCTTTTAGCTGTTCACCAACACAGCCTTATAAGTTATTATATCATAAGTCACTACACCAGGTAAAATTTCACATCACATGGCATTATTATTCACACTACATTCACACTAGGTTAATGCTCTAAAGTCGATATCTGCTCCACTCCAATCATCACCACGTGTCAGACTTTGTTTGTAGAGCTTGTAAGGTTATGCTGTGACATCACTGTGACCTCATCATGTTGCAGGCTCAATCTTTCGTTGACCAATGGTCAGAGGTGACTTCAAACAGCTACAACTGCAGAGTTCAGAGAAACCGTCACCATGGCGATGAAGATGATCATGTGATGAAACTGGAGGACTTACAACAGGAAGATTCACTCTGAAAGACTGAGGGAGTGACTCCTCCCCCTGACCTCTGACATCACCTGCTGTTGGGAGAGTCAGTTGGGAGGGGCCTGTTTGGTCTACAGTCATGGGAAATCGTGGAATGTTTTTAAGAGATTTATTTTTTGGGACTTGGTCGCAATGATGTTTTTGTCTGTGCCAATAATGAGCCAAAAAGAAAAAAAATCCCATCATGCTTTTGGCTAAATGGATGCCCACGAAAGTATGATGGAGAATTTGGCGTCACCTTTGACCTTTTTAACTTTGGTTGAATTTTATTTGATTTTCCACAAAGTGAGGCAGAGTGAACTGTGGGTAATGAGAGACTGACGCCATGACATCATCAGTGATGTAGCCTTGTTGTAAACAAATAAAAAAAAATACAACTCAAGCAACTAAGGCATGGTTTTAGTCTGTGACGTGGAGGTAGGATATCACCAGGGTTTACGCTAGCCTAAGTTAGCATCATCTCATCACCTCTTGGACTGGACAGTCGCCATTTAAATCACTAAAGACTTTTTTATACAAGTAAAATTCTGATGATGTGATTGGTTGTTAATCATCTACTGAATACTCACAATATGGTCACCACAACCTTATATTTATTAAAGGACAAGTTCAGAGATTTATACAAATGTAAAAAAAAAAAAATATGACCGCATAGAGACACGATTCACGTTCTGAAGTTTAGAGACCCTGGTTTTGCCCAACAGTTATAATGTCCTCTTGGAGTGGAAATGTGTGCGTGAGTAAAAAGGAAAAAAAAAAGTGAAAGAAGTGCAGATTGGGATCCATTAAGAGTTGGGGTCCCTGTATATACAGAAAAGATCCAGTTAGGTTTAGAACCATGGAGGGGTCCAGGAACATCTGCTGTGAGGACGTATAGTCTGTTCCTGGATGGTCAAGTCTCGCTTCGTCCAGGGTTCTGTGATCTTTAGATAAGTCTGTCAAGACACTTAGAAGTTTCAGGGTCCGTGGACAATCCAGTGACACCAAGTCACAGATCTCTATACTGATCCAAGATTCTCATTGTGCCGTGTGAACTTGTGTTTGTGTGTTTAAGTACAAGTTATTCCTGATTGGTAGAATGGGACAGAGTGGGACGTTCACATCAGGACAGGTTTGGGGCCCATGGACCCTGTATGTTCTGGCTCTGCAGGAGCTTCTGCAGCTCTTTGAACTGGGCCACCGTATGGTCTTTGACGTCCGGGTTGGAGATCTGTAATCGGATGCTGTCTGTGGACCAGCTGAGTTCTCCAGAGAACATCTCAGTCAGAATCTTAGCAACCACAGGAACCACCTGTAACCAGTAACCACATGACTAATGGGAACGTTCTACATTTTTACAGTCAACGTGAAACCAGATCATTGGTACCTGGACGATGATGAGTTTCTTTTCTTTGGGTTTTTTATCAGGCCAGTCTTCTCCAAAGCAGAAGTAGATCTCAAATGGTGGCGGACTTGGAGCTTCGCCTTTCTGGAACAGGATCAGACCTGAGAACACAACATTTAGTTTAACGTTACAAAACCTAACTACAGTTTTCTCAGGACTCTGAAGTCCTCACCTCGCAGGAAGTCGTTGAGGCTAAAAACTTTGATCTTCTTCTCTCGCTCCATGGAGTTTGGAGGACCCTGTTCAGACATGCCTGGTCCAGACCAGAACACCTTACACTGGCACAGGCGAATGGCGTAGATGTCCTGTTCCCACATCTCCAGGATCAGGCCCCGGTCCATCACGTCCAGCAGGGCGTTGGTGTAGTGCTTCTGCTTCTCGCTCTGGATCTCAGACGTTCCTGGAAACTGGACCTGTTGCAAGTTAACCGGTCCAAACAAGTCCACCTGATCTGGTGTTGGCTCCAGGTGTCCGTAGTAAAGCCGGCAGCCCTGAAGGTTACTCACTGTGAGGGACTTCATGATTTTGCCTCGGTACTGGAACTTCAAATCTAGGTCTGTTACTGCAGTACCAGAACATAACTGTAAGTGTTATCCACATTAAATGTCAGAGTAATTCATCTTCAAACTACATCACCTCCAGTCTAGAAACAAAGCAGAACTTGTTCCAAACAACAGAAGGTTCTGAAGTTACTGGTACTGGAATTGGTTAAAGATATGTTCCACTCACAAGGAATGCTGTTCAACAGGTCGTACGTCTGAGGATCTTCCAGGTTCCCCATTTCACCCATGCTGCTGGCCTCCATCGGGTCTGGTTCAGTAGAGGGCAGTAGAGAGTCCAGGTGAAGTCCATTAGTCGGTCCATTCAAGGCCTGATTGTGAAGGTTAGACGGCACAGGAAGGAGCAACGGTGGTGTCGGAAGACAGCCAAAAGGGTTTACGTTTGAGTGAGGCGGGAAGGAACTGAAGGGGGCCGAGTCAATGATCCTGGGGTCTGATGGGAAATGACATCTGAATAACTGAACAGCATAACTGGAATTCATTGTTTTCAAGAAAACAGCGACGACTCACTGATGCTGAGGTCCATGAGCTGTGGCATCTGAAAACCAAGAAATGTTTTAAGAATTCAGATTTATCTTTAATTGTGTTTGAATGTTTCTATTCATGTTCTACGTTCACCTCATCATCGTTGTCGTCTTCGACACCATCTGAATGAAAAACAAAGAATCCTCATCCTAATTCATCCTCAAAACAAAAGCCAATCCAGCCAATCCCTGTAAAAACTGCCTCAACCTTTAGGCTCACCTGCGCCCCCTGGCTCCTCACAGACCTCATAGATCTTGAATGGCTGTACTGGCGTCTCTTTCGTTCCGTCATATTTAAGCTGGAATTCACGGCTCTTGTTCAGGGCGCAACGGAGGTTCGCTTTCCACTTAGCAGGGTCGGGTTCATCCACACCTTCTTGGTATTTACCAGTTTCCAGGGCCCAGGCCTGCAAAACACAAACATTAAATAGTGGATATAAAGCCACATGACACTGACCCAAGGTTCTCTTTTAAGCAGGAAGTTAAAGCAGAACCTGAAATGAGGAAGTGATATAAAGGTTGTGTTTCAATTCAGTTCCTTTCGAAATGTTTTCTAATTTTCTAAAATGGTTTTAAAATCCTTGATTGTCTGTTAGTATTTCAGAAGGTCACCAGTTCAAACATGACCCATCAGTCATTTAGCTTTCATACTGAGGTTAAAATCCTACTGATCATAAAACTCATTCAGTCGTGTCGGACCTTGAATATGGTGTTCTCTTCATCTGAGGTCGGCATGTGCCGCGTAGCATGTTTCCATGGGATCTGGAAGAGTCTGTGATCTGGACCGATCCACTGCAGACCTGGGTACCTGCAGCTGTTCACCTGCGCCACCAACCACGGCTTGAGACGAATGCGGCGAGGTTGCACACTCATGATCTGAGGAGTGAGTAAATAACTGATCAACACAGGTCAAATCGATTGATCAGGATCTAGTGATCCTGACTCTCTCTCTAGAGACCTCCTGGCATTGACAGATTCTGTTTGGTTTAATAATCTCTTAAATGCATTTTGAGATACAGAACCAACATTTCCAGGAACATTTTCCTCCTGAAGACCATGAAGAAATCAGTCTTTATAAAGTGAAGGACTACGTTGGAACCCACAGGAACCAATCCGCATGGTAAGAATACTGTAATACTGTAAGTATAAATGTTCAGTGCAACACATTTGTACTTTTTCTGGATGCTACTTGGGTCTGATTGGTTCCACTCTGAAGAAGCACCTGTGTGTTTACACTTTATACTCAAATCAGGCCTTCTGGTTGGAGGACTAAATCAGTTACTGTACCCAAACCTCTAAATCCTCCAGAGTCCTGGGCAGTCTTAGAATTTGCGTAAAGAAGTAACCAAAAAGATTAGGTTAACTCAGGATTAACATGGCCGATTATCTGATGATGGTCAGATTAAGGAGTGAGAGCTATCAAAGTTTTAAAATGTCTGGAAATCAATGAGGATTCCTTCCAAGTGTTTGCGTGCGTGTTTACGTGCGCGCGTAGTGATTTCTACTCACCTGGTTCTTGGCGGACGTAGACTTTCTCTTCCTTTGGCGTCACAAAACCGTCAAAAAAAACAACGAACAACCAAACAAATTAACTCGCAAACACAGCAACCTTTGACAGCCAGACTTCAAGTCGAAACGAAAATTTGGAAAAACTCTGATCAGTAGTGAGGTGCCTCACGTACTTCCTGACTCACTGACCACGACTTTCACAATAAAACATACGCGCCATCGAAAATACAAATTCAAAGTCTTAGGCCACATTATTATGGATTTGAAACCGAACATTTACTGTGTGGCGTTTCTGATCGACGGCAGGGTTGCCAGAAGTGTAGCCACCGAGATTCTTTAGACAAAAAGAAGAAACTAAAATGAACGGGTCCACCGGAAATGGACACAAGTCAGCTAGTAAGTAGGTTAGTTCGTTTTTATTTGTGATTCATCACTTAATTTAACTCAATTAGTCTATATTTTATAACTTAAGTTCCATTTATTCAAGTCAACTAACATTATGTACAGGTTTACAAAATACCAGCAACTATTTAGACCCTTTGAGCTGAGATTGCCGCTCTTGTGCTTGTGTGTTTTATTCTGTTTTACAGCTTGGAGGTTAAACCATGCACAAGAGTTGGAATAAAGATCAGATTTCTGTAAAAACATAATCATAGTTTCATGGAGGTGTCACGTGAGGTTTATTCAGCTTGAGTTAAACACATTGGTCACATGTGCAACACCTGGAGCAGGTTAGATTCAAACATTACTCATCGTGACGTTTAATAAGCATCAACATGTCACAGAACTCCATCAGCTACTTCCTTTCATTTTCTGCCCATGCCGTATGGATCTGAAGTTATCCCGCCGGCGATTTCATTGCCGCCGTGATGTAGGGCGTTGACGAGATCTGAAATCGCTAAAGTGGGCAGGCGAAACACCATAGAGTCACTGAAGAGGGGCAAAAACCAGAGGATAAAATTGCAAGAACCTGTTCATATTGATCTGTGCATATTTTAAAGTTGAAACAAAAAGTTAAAACAAAAAAGTACAACTAGATTGATCCCAAACTTTTCTAAAACCAAAAAGTCAAAAAGTTTCCTGAACGGTTACATTTGAGTTTTTCAGCAAATGGTATGTATTAATTCACTAGATCATTCATTTGAAGAGATAAAATAAATCAGATGACAAACCCCAAATTAGTTTTAATAATGCAGAAATACATTTTTCTTGATTAAAATCAAAACTGTTTCTTATTCTGAACTCAAGCAGCTAGTCAATGGTACATTTACATGACAAACAACATCACATCTGATTGGCTGAGTAAACGAGATGGAAAAATAGGTAAGAAAAAAAACCAAAATCCTTACCGTATTTGGTCTGGTAAATATAAACGTTGAATTCTGGAGAAATAAAAGTAAATGAGAACAAGTGTGTAAGATATAGACTGTACAAAGAGGTTGTTAGTAGCAAGATGTACCCAAAATACAATTTTAGATTATTAATCACATAAAAAAAATATAAAAAGAAAATGTGGATCTTGACTTACACTTCTGTATCCTCTAAACTGTAGCGAGTATCATTCCACCTACAATCCAAAGGTAAAGTATGAGCTGATCAATACCTCATCAACATAGAAACATCAGGACTATGAAGTTCACAACAACCACAGCTGGAGTTAGTCTGCACCTCACCAGGACTCATTGAGGGGCACAGAGGAGACCAAGACGATCACCATCGACACAGAAATCAAACACTGGAACATCATCTTCATCTTCACAGAGAGAAAGTGAGAGAGCTTCACCAAGTAGGCCATCTTTATACCTGTTGAACGACCTTCAGCTCATGGTCACGCGGCCTTCAAACGAGGGACGTCGACCCTCACGAGTCACATCTGTGTTTGAAGTGAGACTTTAGCCCTGAACTCCGGTCAACGTGTAATTAATAATGTAGAGACACAACTTCACACAAACATACTTTATTTCCAACAACTTGGAGTTTTATAAGTTAACACAAACAGTCACAAATAGTTTCCATTTTACATCAGTCACATGACAACACCAACTTCCTGGAATCTGAAACTCATCAGTTTCCAGGGCAGGAACACAAACAGTCAGAAGGAATGACCATGATCACAAATTCACTATTGATACAGAACATGTCAGGGTTGTGGCCATCCGTCAGCATGTGTTCACTGTTTATCGGAAGTCCTCTGCGGAGAACATGCCCTTGGCACGTCGCAGGATGGAGTCCTTGGAGGCATCGTACGGATGCTCTTTGGAAGGGATCTCTAGAACAGCTGGGATGGACTGCATGTGGGCATCGATGGCGTGGCGGATCATCTCAGCAATGAACTGGTTGATGAGGATGATGCCTATGTCATTACGTGCCAAGAAGCTCCTGTTAGGGGAGAGAGAAAGAGAAATGAAAGGGTTAAGTACACAAAGCAAACGGAGGGAGTGTAAGAAATAAATAATTACTAAAAAAAATCTTACTGTTCTACAAAAAATTAATATTTATTACTCTTTAAAGATCAGTATTAAAACAAAGGCTTGACCTAATGATTTAAAATTAAATAAAAAATTATAAATGTATTTGTGCTATCTCACGGTAGAATTAGCGTGCGTGAATTATTTGTAAGAAATCGGACTATATATATATTTTTTTCTTTTTTTTCTTTTTTTTTTTGAAAATCGTATTTACAGGAAAACGAGCAAAGACTTGAATGAGATTTGGTTAAAATCCCAAAACATAAAGATCGACCTGTCTTTTCAAAGGTTAAACAGTCAGGTATATTGATGACGTTATCTGACAAAGTAATAATTATAGTTAGACTGGTTTTGTCTTTAATACGCCAGTGTTTTCGACTAATCAAAAGCATGAGGAGAAAAACAACTGGCGACGGTTCAATAAGCTTCTTTTTACTTGAACGTCTCTTCGATCTCGGTGATGCTCGTGTCCTTCTCCACCACCAGGAAATTGGGTTTTCGGTTCTTGTTTAGTTCCCCGACACCGCCGAGCAGGAAACCAGTGCAGGTGTCCTCGTCGCCGATAACGGCGATCAGTTTGCCACGACCAGCCATCGCGCACCTTCGAAAAAAAGCTAAATCTGTCGGAAAAACGAAGAGAAATATTTCACTATACTCACAGAGCTTTGCGGTCATGTGAGGAGTCAGCTGACAGAAACGTCCGGTGTCTTATCAAAGATTTGCGCCCTCTATTGTGCTGCATGAGAGTTGTTAAAATAAATCACGAAAAAACGACAATTACAGACCAACGTTGTATTTAAACTGCCACAAAATAACGTATGGGTTTATCAACTTCAGTCTTTTTTAAAAAAGCTTTATTTATTTCCAAAGAACATTTAAAAAACGGTCGTTTTCAGATGAGGGCGCTGTTGCATTGCCAGGTCGTTTATGACGTAACGGAAGAAGAAGAAGAAGGAGAGTTGACTTGAAGACCTGGTTTAAGTAATAATCACCGAAGTAGAATGGTAAAATTGGAGAGAAATGCAATTACTTTTTACGATTAATATATTTTAATTGTACTGTTAATTTCGCGTAATAGTGTTCACGGTTCCGTTGTGTCACTCTGTCAGCTCTTAAACAGTTAGCAGTTAGCTTCAACTTGTTTGTTTTCTGGTTCCAGACCACCGCTGCTCTGACTGCGGGTCTAGAGCGGATCCCGGATCAGCTCGGATATCTTGTCATCAGTGAGGATGGAGTACTGGCTGTGAGTACTTCACTGGATTCTTTATTTGTATCCAGACAAATTGTGAATAGTGTCGCACATGGTGACAGACAAGAGAAGCCAGGAATCTTAAAAAAAAAAAACCCACATGTATATGAAACATGTATATAATGTTAAAAAGGTTCATTTTTATTCAATGATAAACAAATGTGGACTATAGTCCAGATCAGGGCGCAGTAGTGGCTCACATTTGTATATGCTTTTCTCTAAAAGAGTCTAACAAACTTACAAATCTAGTCCAGCCGGAAATACCATGTATTCTCTAAGGTTCCTTCTTGATAATGGTTCATTCTGTACAAAATAAATCTACCCTTAGAACAACTGTATTCTTTCTGTAGATTACGAGCAGACCTCCAAGACCGCAAATCTAGTCCAGCCGGAAATACCATGCATTCTCTAAGGTTCCTTCTTGATAATAACCTCCAAAACCACTGTCTAAAATCCAGCCCCAAACCATTACAGAACTTCAGACTGTATTTAGCCATATAAGCTGAATATATAAGACGTTGTACTATATTGATCCCATATTTGGGAAGTTGTTGTGTTAGCAGTAGATATGCTGTTAACAGGCTGCCAAGAATGTGGCTCCTCCGGCAATTGAACCCAGGACTCTCTGCTCTCTGCTTCTGAAGCAGGCGTGCTAACCACTACACTATGGAACCACCTAAATATGGAATTATACTTTCCATTTGTGTTATATAGATGTAGCTGTATGGCACAATATGATTTAATAATTGTATGGTTGCTAATGTCCTAGAGATTTTAAATTACATTTTTTTATTTTAATTGCTAATGATCTACTGGTACTGCTTTGTGATCTACTTATTGGGCACCTTTGGTGTAGATGTATTTTCAAAGTAAAGCTCTTAAACTGGCTACATACATATGCATCATCTCGTCTGTTCAGTCTGCAGGCGAGATGGAGAATGACGAACACACCGCGGGCATCATGATGGAGATGGTGAGAACAGCAAGTCGCTTCAGGTTACCCGGGACAGCCGACCCCGCCTTCAAACGCATGTCAGGTAACAAAATGCACATCTCGGGTGGTTTCCGTTCTGTGCCCACAACTCTGCCTTATACTATACACTCCTTTCTATCTTCAGTTATTCTGGATGACTTTGTTTATGTGGTGACCATCTCTGGACAGAAGGTTTTTGTGGTCAAGCGACAGCACAACCAGCATGAACCAATCAGTGTTTAGGTCAAAGGATGACATGATGTGGTCAAGTTGTTGTTGTCTCTAATCAATTTGTGTGTTAAATTTTTTGTGAATAAAGTCATTCCGAATGTTTGTTCTCGTGTTTTTGTCTTTGTAAATCTGTAATCAGCACAAGGCACGAGTAAAATAAACGAATTTTCATTAAACGGGACAGTTCCTGGTCGATAATCTTACAGTTACAGAACTCTTCAGGACAAAGTTCGTTTAGCTGCAGTTTACCTATTGTCCACTTGGGGTCTCTCTTGGTGTTTTTGAGATGAAGAACCAGTGGACCTGATGGACCTCAGATCCGCTCGTGATGGATCCGTTTGACGGCTCCTGTTCTCCGCCACATACGGCGGACAGTGCGGACAGCCGGTCCCCGTGGTACCGGTTCGCTTCATGGTTGGAGTGTGTCTGCGTCGTCACTTTCGACCTGGAGCTCGGACAAGCCATTGAGGTAAAGCGTTAGCTTAGCATTTTAGCCGGGATTTAACTGCACGGTCGTCAGTCACACAAACAGAAGAAACCGATAAAAAAAATGTAAAAAAACAAAACAAAATAAAGTATGTGTAGTGGCTGACCTTCGTCCTTTTTACAACAAACCAAACACAGTTTGTTTGATCATTTTTATTTAACAGAGTAAATAAACAGACGTAATATACACAAACGATATCAAATAAATTTCTGTAATATTACGGAAATGATTTCTGTTGAGTTCTGTCACCCGTTGATTTGCATTTGTCACAGTTTTAATTGATGTTATTTCTTTTTTGCTTCTTATCAGTCACTTATCCTGTCAGTGACAACAAAAGCGTTGTATTTAAATAGCCATCGATGACGTGTGAGCGGAAGTGACCTGTAGTTTACCTCTGACGTCTATATTTTCTGTTCACAACTTCATTTTGAAAGAAAAAATATTAAAACGTACTTGCTTATTGTGTGATTCTGATCATGAAATATATGTTTATATGTGTATATATATACACATATATACGTATACTGTATATACGTAGTATAGTAGTGTGTAAATTTACTGTATATACGTAGTATAGTAGTGTGCTTGTTAAATCTATAGAATTTTCATTAATGTTTGTTTTGTCTATTTTCAGTTGGTGTTCCCTCCACATGTGAAACTTACTGAGAAGGAGGTATTTTTGTTTATCCTGATTATAAACAGTATAGTGTTCATGTTGCTCGTGTATAAACAGGTACAAAGGTACAAACGTTACATTTAAATGTAAATATTTCTGTCTTTCTTGTTAGAAAACCAGCATCTGTTTCCTCTCCTTCCCAGACTCCTACTCAGGTAAGGTCACTGACACTATACATGCCATCTGCAGGTCTAAGATCAGAAGTCACATGACCTATGTGTTGATTCCCAGGATGTCTTGGAGACACTCAGTTCAGCTTCAGGCTGCGTCAGTCCGTGGGTCGCAGAGGGTCACGGCGACAAGACGATGCGTACAACAGAGACGCCCCGGTCACGCTGCAGGTGTGTTTGTATAGAAACAGTCACATGATCGGCGATGTGATGACATTTTTGAATTATGTAATCTCTGCTCATCTCCATGTCTACAGATGGAAACGTCCCATTTCTGTGGCTACGTCTATTTCAGACAGGTGAAGGACACGTCTGTGAAGAGAGGATACTTTCAGAAGGTCAGATCATCAGGACAAGGACTAGCCGTTTACAGACTGCATACTTTGACGCATGGGAAAAGGCCGTGTGTCATGTGACTCTGTGTCTTCCAGTCTCTGGTGCTGGTCTCCAGGTTGCCCTACACCCACCTGTTCCACTCGTTGCTGCAGATCATTGCCCCTGAGTTCTTCGAGAAGCTGGAGCCTTGCTTAGAAACAGGTGATGTCATGCCTATGCAATAACCACCAGCCAATGAAAATAGACATTTTATTCCAATTTTCTTTTTCTTTTTTACCTGACAACTTTTTTCTCAATCTTGAAGTATGTAATGAGATTGACCAATGGCCTGCACCTATTCCTGGACTGACACTCAACCTGCCACTGATGGGCGTGGTCCTACAGGTGTGTCTGAGGGGCGGGGGGTTCTCTAGGGGTTGTCTTAGGACAGTGGTTCCAAATTTTTTTGGGCTTGTGACCCCATTTTGACATCACAAATTTCTGGCAATCTCCAAGACATTGCTGCGTTGTGTGGAATTTTTAATCATAATATTAAAGATATTAAAATTAATTGAAAAAATATTTTATCGGTATTGTTTTTATCAATTACTAGACATTTCAGATGACCCGTTTTAAGAGACCCCATGTGGGGTCGCAACCCCAAGGTTGAAAAACACTTTCTTAGAACCATGTTTAAAAGATGGGAAGTTTTAAGGATAATGGTTTTACTTCCAGGTGCGGATTCCTTCAAAAACAGACAAACCAGGGGGAAGTCCAGTACGACTAGCCGGCAGCCAGGTGAGGGACAGGTTCAAGTTTACTGTGTCAACCGACTATGTCCGTCTCACCTCAGTCCAACTCTTTAATGTCTTCCTGAAACTTGCCTCATTATGTTTTGTCTCTACAGAATCTGCTGCCAGTTCCGACAACGCTTCCGACGGTCTACGAACTGGACCTCTTTAGGTCTGTCTGAGTTTCTTATTGGTTGATTTATTATTACATCATGTGACTAACACCGCCTCAATCTTCTGGCCAGGTGCTTTCAGTCGGTACTTGTCCATCTCCAGATGCTCTGGGAGCTCACGTTACTCGGGGAACCGATGGTTGTCATGGCACCGTCCCCCACCGCCTCCTCAGAAACTGTGCTCTCTCTCATCAGGTACTAGTGCAGTAGAACTACTGGGTAGTTCTAAAGCAGGGATGTCAAACATACGGCTCGTGGGCCAAAACTGGCCGTCTAGGGGTCTTCAATCCGGCCCGCATGATGAATTTTGAAAGTCATTAAATATGAATATTGTCTAATGTTTTTGTACTCTACTAGGTGATTATGTTTTAATTTGACTGGTGCGGCCCGCTAATCCAGGCCGTATGTGGCCGCTGAACCAAAAAGAGTTTGACACCCGTGTTGTAAAGGGAGCCGTGCAGAGATGAACGTTGTTGTTGGCACGTCTCATGGTGTGTGTTTGTGTTTGTGTGTTCTCAGCTGCATCAGTCCTTTAAAGTTCTGCTGCGACTACCGTCCTTATTTTACCATCCATGACAGTGAGTTCCGAGAATATACCACCAGGACGCAGGCACCGTGAGTCTGACCTCACCTGTTTTTGTCTGAGTTTATCAGTCTCACCCGAGCTTCTTGTGAATTGACCTGCCCTGCTAGGTTGACCTCTACCAGTTTCTACTGTCTCACTTGTGTCATCTGAATTTTAGCCTAGTTAATCAGTGTCACCTGACTTGACCTGTCTCACCTGTCTCTGCATCAGACCAAATGTGCTTCTCGGCGTCACAAACCCTTTCTTCATTAAGACGTTTCAGTCTTGGCCTCACATCGTCAGACTGGGGGAGATCAAGATGGCAGGTATTATATAATATATAAAATGTATTTCTGCTGCTGTTGACCAATCAGCTGACTTCTGATCACCTGGTACAGGCGACTTACCTAAGCAGATTAAGGTGAAGAAACTCTCTAAACTGAAAATTCTGGACACCAAACCAGGTGGGTCTTGAAAGAAACGCTGCCAATGAAACCCACCTGTGACATCATCAAGGTCATCAAGGTCACTGACCTGTGTGTGTGTGTGTGTGTGTGTGTGTGTGTGTGCATGCAGGCATCTACACATCCTACAAGACGTTTCTTCACAAAGATAAGATTCTGATCAAACGGCTGCTAAAGGGCTTTCAGAGGAAGCGGCCATCAGAGGCTCAGAGCGCCATCTTGAGGAGACACCTGTTAGAGCTCACGCAGAGCTTCATCATCCCTCTGGTGAGATGCAGACAATCACATTGCTTCACCCTGGTTGCATGAGGTCACTGTGCTGTCACGGTAGACAAAAGTGTCAAAGTGATGACGTGCGTACATGCTGTGATGGTTCATCTGTGGTCTCTCCGTCAGGAGCGGTACATGGCCAGTCTGATGCCGCTCCAGAGATCAGTGACTCCGTGGAAGGTGAGAGCAGGAAGTGGTTGAAGATTTGACTTCTGACCCAATGGTGATGATGATGATGACATCATTTGCTCGGACATGACAGCTGACTCACTTTGCGGTTGTTCCAGACTCCCCCTCAGATCCGACCCTTCAGTCAGGAGGAGTTTATGTCTACATTGGAGCACAGTGGGCCGCAGCTGACCTCTGGGATCAAGGGTGATTGGACGGGGCTGTACAGGTGAGATCCTCAGGTCTACGGTTGACTTCCTTTGTCCATACATGTTTAACCTGAGTCGCGTTCCTCGTCGCAGGAAGTTTTTTAGGTCATTGAACTTTGACGGCTGGTACCGACAAAGACACAAGGAGATGACGCAGAAACTGGAGAGTATCCACCTGGAGGTCATTTGTGATGCTGTAAGTTTGACTATCTTGTCAAGCAAATGTCATATAGAAACTCATGAGCTCTGACTGTGATGTCCTGTGTCCTCAGGATCTGATTGGTTGGACCAAAGACAAGTCTGAGGTGGAGATTGTGGACTTGGTTCTGAAACTGCGAGAAAAGATGGTCAGTCTGTTCGCTTTGGTTTGAGAACGTCAAATTCGCACACAATTAGAGCCACCACAGACAGGAGGCTAACTTTAGCTGAAATCTTTGCTGCTAGCATTATTAGTCACTTTTGTTGCATTTTACTTTCTATGCCAAAGTGCATAAAACAATCTTTTATGACATGGTTAAGGTCTATGGTTTTTTAGATTTTTATTAACCTGAGTAGGGATTTAAACCAGTCACACAATCATTTGTTTGATGTAAAATCACTTATTTTCTCTGTGGACTTCAGTATGTGTGTAAAAGCAACACAATGAGTGGCACAAAGTTGAGTTTTCCTTAGGTGTTTATAAGTGGTGTGTTTGTGTGTTTTTGTCTTTTTAAGAATAAAGCCAGCAGGCAGCAGCTGCAGCTGAAGGACGGGGTGGTGGACAAACTTTGGACTTTCATTGATGACACCGTCAGGACCCTTCCTGAAGACCTGCAGTGTACACTGACATCTACACACTAACATCTACACACTGACTCACTGCTATAAGAATACTAATATGATTTCAGTTCATTGATGAACGCTCAGATTTTGCTAAAATATTTTGTTTGATAAATCTACGGTTTACCACGTCTTTGACCTACAGCGGTTCGTGGTTACATCTCCCATAAATTTGTTAAGAAATTCTTGTTCCACCATTCAGACGTACGCAGTTAGAATAAATTTGCACAAGAAATAGTTAGCGAGTTGGACAAATACGTCGTTACGTGGTGCTATGCGCGGAAGACGTCTTTGTTTACATTCGCAGGTTGTACGCCATACATTAGATTGTGCTACATTTACCGTCTTTCGTTTTAAATTATTTTTTTGGGAACTTTCTGCCCTTCATCATGGCTCCCAAGTGTAAGTCAGACTCTTCTGACATTTTGTTCTAGATTATGGTGTAAGTCAGACTCTTCTGACATTTTGATTATTATGTCACCACTGTGGTGACAGTATGTGAGTTCAGACTTCCACAAATGGAGTTATGTTGCGCTGTAAGAACTGAAGTCGAGGCCCCTGTAATGTGATCATTTTCTCTGTTGGACCTTACTTTTGACCCTGGGTGATGACCTCACACTTTATTAAGTGAATATGGCAAAGCCTTTTGTCTTTTCTTTTAAAGTAAATCTAACAAAGATGAAAGCTTCTGGTTTGTCATTTTGTACTGAGCCTCCCCCACCCCCCCTCAAAACATCAAACAAAACCATGGTCCAGGAAAATATTTTTAATAGGTGCATCAAAAATATACATCATTTTACACACTGGAGTCATTACCTCTTTAAACTGTTTGGTTTTTATGTAGGGTGTATATATCCTACACCAAGCTGTGCCCACTTCAGCCTCATAACCACTTATTCTTCTTTTCATGGTCCTTGATGGTGCCCCCTGCAGGAGAAGGGTCTCATTGCAGCCAGATGACAAAGACAACCATCCTTGCTGTAGTCTTGGCTGAATATAACGTAGTGTTCATGACAAAGCTGGCTACAAATGTGTGCCAACTGGTAAAGAGAAATAAATGAGGTTGGTGTTGAGCATCATACTGGACACAGTGACTACAGATAACCACACCACCCAACACAACACTGCAGCTTATTCAACTCAGGTCTTTTGCCCAGGGGTTGTTTTTTCTTTTTACTTTGTGCAGGTAAAAATGCCCTCTGGTGCCCTCTGCTGGACTCTTTATCTTTTGTTGGCCCACCACGGCGCCCCCTGCAGCTTGAGTACATGGTGTTTTTCTTGCGGGCTGAAGTGCAAGATTGTGAGGATAGCGTTCAGCGTCTGGTGCTTCCCGCTGGGGTCCTGCAGCGTTAGGAACTTATATGTGATGTTTTTCAGGTACTCCAAGTTGGCGCCCTCCCTCTTTTGGTCTCTTATCAGTTTGTCTAGTTTTTCTCGCAGCTCAATCACTTCCTCGTCGTGGCGCTCTGCGTTAGTGATTAGCCGTGCCTGCAACTGGTGGAGGTCCTCCTCCAAGCGGTTTTTCTGGCGCCGCAGGCTTCCAAGCTCCACTTCCATCCTTGCCAGCTGTTCTGCATATAGAAGCAGCGTGGGCTCAGAGGAAGTGACCCGCTGAAGCGCCAGACCCACAATGTCAGCCTCAGACTCCGGCTCGGCAGTGTCATCGTGTGTGACGCTGTAGTCATTGGAACGTCCGAGCACAAGTGTGCGGAGCTTCTCGAGCTCCTGGTCTTTCTCATTGATCAGCGCCATGGCCCGCTCTCTTTGTTTGTGTAGCTCCGCCTCCATTCTCAGCAGCTCGTCACGATGCGAAGACTCCACCCGCTCCAGTTCCTGTTTGTGGCTCTGCTGCAGCAGCGCTGTCGCCTGTTGACGCTCCTCCAGCTCGTGACAGTGTTGTGTTTTGGCGTCATCACTCTGGATCCGCAGGTTGATGTACTTCTCCTTGAGCTCCGACAGCTGGTCACGCATTTCTTCTAGCTCTTTGGCCTGGCAACCGTCTTTAGTGTTCTTGTTCTTCAGCACCACCTGTGCCCGCAGCTTGTACCGCTCAAATTCGTCCTTCAGCTGCCTCAGCTCCTGCTGGTAGACCAGCGGAGTGGTTCGGTCACCGTCCAGCTCTGATTCTCTCTCCTCCAAGTTTCTCAGGTTTTGATCTGGGTTCTTCTGAACGGCAATAAGCAGCAGCTTCTTCACCTTCTCTAGCTTCTCCTTAAGCACACTGACATCCAGCTGTGATTCGTCTATGTTGAGGTCGGAGGCCGACCTGTTGGAAGCAGCGATGGCCAGTGTCTTGTTTTCGGTGTCCAGCTGCAAGATTCTGTCTCGAAGTCTCTGAGTGGCCTGCTGGTCCCGTTGCCTTGCCTTCTCACAAGAACCCAGCAGCTCAGACAATTCCGAGATCCGCTGCTCCAGACCTGCGACCCTGTCCTCTGCCGACTCAGCACGTTCACGAGCACGCTCCTCTATGTCACACGCCTGAAAAAGAAAAGGAATGACAAGGATGTCACACAAGAACTCAATCTTCATCTGACTCTGTGGGTTCAGAATAGTTCTCACCTTCTTGGTCTCAGCTTGGATCTGCTTCTGGAGGTTGTCTTTAACCTGCGCCAGCTCCTGCCTCAACTCATCCACTCTGGGATCTTTTTTTTTCTGATCTTCCTCTGCGACCTCCAGCCTCCTCTTCAGCTCTTCTTTCTCCTCTCTCAGCTGGTTCAGTTGCGTTTCATACTCCACCCCTCGCTCTACTACCTGTGTTGTTGCCATTAGGGTAGCGTTGGTGTCTTGCAGTTGGAGCTCTGCATCCTGCCTCAGGTCTCGCTCTTGTTGCAGAAGTTTCTGGATTTCTCGTAGCTGCTGGACGTGGTCCACCTGCTCCTGCTCCCTGTCGTGTTGCTGCGTGATGACGCGGGCACGGCTCTCGTTGAGCTGCTGCTGCAGGACACGGAGCTCCGCTTCCTGTTGCTTGGTCAGGGTCCGCAGGTGCTCCTGCAGCTCCTCCACCTCCAGCTTCAGCTGCCGCTTGTCAGCCTGAAAGTTTGCCTCCATCCGAGATTTCTCCTGAGTCACCGTAGCTAGCGCACCGGTAAGTGTGCTCAGCTGGCTCTTTAATTGAGCAATTCTACGATCAGCCTCCGCACTATTGGCGGGAGTCGGTCCCACGCTGCTGCTGCTCTCTGAGCTGCTGACATCAACCTCCGCCCTCTCTGAAGGCAGGGTCTGCAGGACGAAAGAGAGAGGATAGAAACTAAATCATTTTTGAACTTCTAGAGTCACATCTTTTTATTGACCCACAAACCCCCATGTGCATTTTTCGGTGCAGGCTCCTGTTGTTATGGACAGTCTAGATTCAACATCTGTAGAATGTGCATGGGTTAGCAGTAGGTATGTATTGTTGCATGGTAAAATGATTAAAAAAAAAATCGATACAAAGCGTGAATATTTGCATTGACTGGCAAGGAATAGGCTGTGTTATCCCAATAGGCCAGTGGTCATACCACTAGACTACACACTCCAGTACAGTAAGGGGCGATATGTGCCTAGAACCATATTAGTGACCAGTTTTTAAACTTTCAGGTACCTACATAACCTAAGTGACCTGTTAATATTTTCTTATATTCTTTAGTTGTTTAATATATTGACAGTTAGCAAGGTACATAAGACCAGACTAGTTTTACTTTTACTAAAATAAAATACAGAAATACACTTTTTTGTATTCTGTTATTTAAGATAATAACTTCAGCTTATGCGGTACACAAGACCCAATCAGGTGGTAATGGTATCCTGCATAGCTCTCAATAATAAAAGATCATTATATTTGGAGGCAAAAAATTGTGATAAAATTGTATTGTGAACCAAAAAAAATTTGCAAATCATAACGTAACATGAGTTGAATGTATTGTTAGATCCCTGTCAGAAATATCACCTGGTGATTGCTTGCTAGGTAAGTAACTAAGTCAACAAACAGAACTGGTTTGTGCTTTGATAAAGGCTGAAAACTGCTTGGTATTTCCTACTGAAAAATACACACCAATAAACAAGTGTGTAATTTTAATTTCCTTCCTATACTAAATGTTGCCTCGTAGTCTGGCTGTGTATCAAATAAACGATTTGTTCTCATACCGGTTCTCCCTGGTCATCCTCAGACTGCTCTCCTCTTGCAGTTTCGCTGGGTGTATCCACTGATACCGCCGTATCCACACTGTCCTCACTGTGCAGTGAGCAGCCATCATCTGGCATTTCTGCAGCAGGGCCATTGGTGGCTGTATCCTGACCCTGCTGATTTGAGTCTAGTTCCTGGGTCACGCTCAAGACCTTCAAACTAGACTCCAGAGCCTCTTTCTCTTTCAGAAGGCTCTTGTATGCCCGGACCACATCCTTGAAGCGGGTTTGGTACTGGACCAGCTGTTTCTTCTGGGCTTCAATCGTGTCCAGCAGTTCCTTCCTATTGGGACCGCCCCCAAAACTCATTCCAAACTTCTCCATTGCTCAGTCAGAGTCTAAGGAGTCTGAAATTACATTGTAGAACCAGAAACAGATCATTTAATTGCAAACTAATTGCACATTTAGGAAAGTTGATTCCACTTGCACGAGCAAATTTAAATGTCTAGTCAAACAGACTTCAGTTTAATAACGAACTGACTGGACACGTACACAGCAAAATTATGTACTAGAAATATAAACAGTTGCGACTGAAATAAAAACGTACTAGTTTCAAAGAGATAGGAAACATTTACCCGGAAAATCTCAAGCTGATCTCTGTTGGAATCCACTTCCTGAATATTATCAATGATCTCCGCTGACGTTTGCGCATGTAAATCATCGGCTCTTTTTAACGCCTTACGGAAACTAACGAAGTTTATCGAAATACGGAGCCAAGGTACTCGTCATTGTTACCTCTTAAAATCGAAATATTTTCGTCCACAGAGATTTTCTTCGAGGGAAAATGAGACCGTCTTCCATTAAAAGCAGTTTTTTTTTCGTGTAACGGTGTAAATAAAAACACCGCTCATTAATTGTCAACCGACCTCCGCCATATTGGAGTGAACCGGAACCAAAGGAGGATGTAGGGGCGTGAACTCCACGAGGCGTTCACTAACATCATGAACATTACACATCAATCAAGACGCGTATTTCAAACCTCTGATGGAATGTTTTTTTTACCGCTAGGAGCAGTAAAACAACCCACATGAAATCGATACTCCTATCCTTTCATTTAATTCATCTTTATTTTTTTTCTCTTGCCTCAAAGATGACAATCCCGACTGCCTAATTACTAAACGTTCATTATAAACTTGAAATTGAAGCGTTGCTCAAATAATTTCAAGACATAATCTGTGTTGTCAAATTATTTGTGAATTGCCTTCCTTAATTTTTTTAATTACACCCTAATTTTTAAACTTAAAAGTCATGATGTTACCTATAAACTGATCATGGACTTAAATCTCCTAATTTTAATATTTAATTTTGGAATATATATATATATATATATATATGTCACGTCTTAATTGTCATTTTCACTATTACATCAATGTATAATTTTGAACTCTTAATCTCATAGTTTTTACTTATTTTGTCAATATGACCTAATTTTTTTACCTTTTGTCCAAAATAGACAAAAAGTCTTCTGACATAGTTTTCACTTTATCATAAAACATGTTTTAGAATCAAATCTGTCTTACAGTTCTATGTCATTACTACATTATCTCTTTATTTTTCAGTCAGTTATTTTAGAACTATGGCAACAATGCGTATTACTAATGCCGGATGTTTTGATGTGCCACGTTTTTTTTTACCCAGTCGGACATAAACACATCACCTCTGTCTGCGTGTTCAATAAAGTTTTTTTTTTTTTCAAAGTAGTGTCGTCATTTATTCCGCGTTGGCCTTTACGTGGCACCGAGGAGGAGTCGCTGTTTCCTGTACTGTTACTTGTGAAGCTGTACATATACAGCTAAGTCTCCCACTGTTCTCGTGTGTCCCTGACTCTGACCAGCGGTTGCTCTTCTTAACTGAACCGGCCGTCATCTTTCCGCTGTTAATCCGGGACTTTGGAGCAACATGGGCATAACTCTATCGAGCGTTTTCCAGCGGCTTTTTGGGAAGAAGCAGATGAGAATTCTAATGGGTGAGCGCGCAAAGCTACACTGAGCTAGCTAGCTTCGAAGCTAACCGAAGGAGCTTCTTTTTTATTCAAAAAGTAAACATGACTTGTTTACTTTTTGAGTAAAAAACACAAGAAGCAAGTTTTACGTTAGTATTTAAATTGAAATCAATCTCACGGTTGCTGAAACTGTTATGAACTTGATTTAAATTAGTTAGCCACCAAAGGCTAACGCCTTGAGCTAACGTAGCCTTTCGCCCATTTAACCGGAATTTAACATCCATTGATGACGTGTGTGTCTTGTGTTTGTTACAGTTGGTTTGGACGCAGCTGGGAAAACGACTATTCTGTACAAACTAAAGCTTGGAGAGATCGTCACCACCATCCCAACTATTGGTAAATGTTCAATAATGTGACCTATCAACGGAGACAGCTGGTTATCTTTATATTGTCAATTCTGCTGAAATTGTATAAAATTGTTTGTTTTTCTTATTAAGGACGTAGTCAAATGCCTTGAGTCGATTTATTTAACATTCTAAACTTGTACGATCAATATTAAGTTGAGTAAAGTTATTAGGTGGAACTGGAAGTTTGATTTTGTTTTTCCAACTCAACAGTTTCAAACTTTAAAGTCATAAAGATTAACTACAGAATGGCCGTGTTTTATCAAGAGTTTATTAATAAAACAACTGTTTAGCTGTCCTGAGCTAAACTAAATTAAAGCCTAGTTAGATACTAGTGGTAACACCTCTGAGATTGTAATTCATATTCTAGGCTGATTCCCAACTATTTCGTATTAACATAGGTCTCCCTTAGAAAACCAGTAGCAAGAAGCAAGCTTAAAAGCTGTGTATGTTGTGGTGAAAATGTAATGTGAAGGCCTTAGTTAAAGCTACAGTATGTAAAGCTGAAAACAGTCAAAATCTACGGAAATGTCAAAAGTCGCAGGTTTAACAGTAAGTTGTTGTGAGCGTGATAAATAGGAAACAGCTTTAAATGTTTAATTCGAATCAAGGTAATGCCAACTCCTTGATTGAATTGTAAAAAGCAAGGAGGAGCTGGGGAGTTGCTTGGTAATTGCATTTCTCAGTTTCACCGTTAGGTGTCACCGTTTTAAGTTCTAAACCGGTGTTAATTATATTAAAAAAACCCTATAATTCTCTTCTAGGTTTTAACGTGGAAACGGTGGAGTACAGAAACATTTGTTTCACAGTCTGGGATGTTGGCGGTCAAGACAAGATCCGTCCTCTGTGGAGACACTACTTCCAAAACACACAGGTACAGAGCAAGGAGCAGTAAACCCGCATTAGACAACAAACCAAGTAACCTTCGTACATACCATCAAAGTTTAATTAACCTTTGAACTGACTGGAAGAAAACAGTGGTTCAGTAGCTCCTGAGAATGATGTGAAATTGCTACTTTTCTGTTTGGATTTCAGCGTATACTCCTGAAGCGGTATTACCTGCCCAACTACCTTGAATGAGGGCCGATAGACATGCCTGGAAGCAATAGTTGTAATAGATGTTGTATTAGATGTAGATTGGAGTTCTTGCTTAAAATATTAAATTTGATAACTTTACAACTAATTAAAATAATGATCCCAAAATTCTATTATCTTCTGTATTATTGACAAATAAAGAAATGTTCTAATCACTTTTATTACAGTTTGTAATTATTACACCACCACACACCTAACTGGAAAGTCTTGGTTCTTATTGGCAGGGTCTGATCTTTGTGGTCGACAGTAACGACAAAGAAAGAGCAGCGGAGTCGGCAGATGAGCTCGCCAAGATGGTGAGAAAACCTTCAAAAGTTGTGGATCACATGATATAATTACTCATGACACCAACAGTCCAACCAACCTGTTCTCTCTTTGCAGCTCCAAGAGGACGAGTTGAAGGATGCACTTCTTCTTGTTTTCGCCAACAAACAGGATCTTCCCAACGCCATGAGTGTCAGCGAAATCACAGACAAACTGGGTCTGCAGGGCATGCGCAATAGAGAAGTAAGAATGAATTCAAAGTGGGCTAAAAGATTTGTAAATGTTAGCCTAGAGATGGCTTATTGTGGAATAGTTGGCAAAATGATCTGAAATGCTAAAGGTGTCACGGTCTGTCTCCCTACAGTGGTATGTCCAGGCCACCTGCGCTACACAAGGCACGGGTCTTTATGAGGGTCTGGACTGGCTCTCCAACAGGCTTTCACAACGCTAAAACAGCCCATGGGACACAGGAAGAGCCACTGTCAACATGTAGGACATGTACAACTACAGAAGAAGGAGTCACGTGACCTTTCACAGGACCGTTTCTGTTATTTCTTTTTTTTTTTTTATTCTTTGTTTTTTTTCCCCCTTTTTTTTAAATTATAAGCCCGTATTTCACTTTAGGACAAAGTGATTTCAAGGACTCAGAACTCACCTGCGTTTCATAGTTCTTACTCTTTGTTTGATCTGTTCCTTTTTAATCTGCATGTTTTAACCATTTGTTTGTCAGAAGAAGGGGGCGGGGTTTATGACAGGTGACTTTTACTGTGGAGCAGAGAAAGGCGTAAGGTTGGTGCTTCCACGGTTGACGTCACCTGTCGTGCATAACTCATTCCACAAAACCTCGTCATTCCTTATTAATGTGAAAAAGAAAAAAAAACGCAGAAGACGATAATGATGACGCAATAAAGTTTGCTTGTCTTCATGTCGCTTTCCCTCTTTGTCACTTTTCTTTTTCAATAAAAATGGATCAGTATTTGAGCTTGTCCTGTCTTCAATGCTCTGATTTCTGTTTTCTTTTTCAAACAACACCATAAATGTTGTAATGATGTAAAAAGACATGAACTTTGCATGTCTAGACATTTACTTTAATGCACACCGGTGAACACTGACTGTATAGCGGTTAGCCCACTAAAATTGTAAAAAAAAGAAAATGCGTATTTAAAAAGAAAGGGTAGTAGAACCTTATTACGATAGTGCCGGCACCGGAAGTGACTATGACGTTTTTCCGGTAGTTTTCCTGTCCCCTTTCACGTCTCCGCTTCTCCCTCTGTCTCTGTGAACAGTTAAACTGTAGACATGGCTTCGGACCACTGCTCCCTCAGCTCTTACAGTCGCTGCACCACCAAACACCTGAACCTGCACCTGAATGTAGACTTCATCAGGCGAGTCATCAGCGGAAAGGTGGAGCTGACGGTGGAGGCACTGGAGGACCGTTTCTCTGCCCTGGTAACATTCACGGTGTCCGGAGAGCAACGGTGTCGTAGCCTCGAAGCTCCCGGCGCCCTTCGCTTATTCAGTCCTATTGTATATCGCTAACGGGAATGGACCAAACCGCTGTATAAATAGTATATGTTCAGTTAAACATGCAATCATTACGAATGTTGTGCTGTTTTAATCATGCTATTCTAACAGTTTGTATTTTTTTTTTGGCGTTTTGAATCAATCGGCTTTGTCCATTTGTCAGCAACTTCATCTTAAACTGACAGGAAATCCTGAACAAACATGACTCTGTCTGCATTGTTAAATCATATAGTTGTACTCGTTTATGTGCTGTATCCTGAAGTTTGTTACATTCTGAACATATCGATCATTTACCGATTTCACTTTGGTTCAATGTTTTTTAGGTCAGGGTCTTGTTCTGTCTTCAAGTTCGTGCAGGAAGTGAGGAAACTGACAAGTCTAATACTTGTCTCACTGGACTTTGGCGTGTGTGACAGAATAATCTGTACTGCGTAGACTTTGACTGATGCACCTGAACAGGCGTGATTATCTGAGAACAACATGCTGACTAGTCTTAGAATTACATTGCTTTGCATCAATTATGTTTTAATAATTGACTAAACCAGGAAAGTGTAGAATTAGTTTAACGGCATAATGAGATCTCCCTTCAAATGCATTTTACAATATTTATCATATTTAATATTTTCTTAAATATATTGTTTTAGATAAAGTGTGATTTACAGCAGAAATAAATTCAGACCGACTGTGATGTCATTACTCAGTGTCTTGTTGTCTTTTTGTTTTCCACTACAGACCTTGGACACTCGAGACCTGAAAATAATCTCCGTCAAGACCAATGGACAAGCCGCCCGCTTCAGTCTGGGCCCCAAACACAGCTTCAAGGGGACACCGCTGGAGATCGTGCTGCCCTTTGACCTCTCCAGGTGACCGCTTAAACATGTGTATCATCTCACCTGTGGTGTCAAAGATGTTGGTGTGTGCTAAAAGCATAACAATTGGTCATGTTTGTGCTCTGGAACAATCAGAGGGCAGCATGTGATTGTGGAGGTGACCTATGAGACGTCTCCTTCGTCAACGGCTCTGCAGTGGCTTTCAGCTGAACAGACGGCCGGCAAGAAACATCCTTACCTGTTCAGTCAGTGTCAGGTAACGTTCACTTCTTGATTCCTCGTGACGTTTATTTTAAACCACACACTGTCTAGTCAGTGTCAGGTAACGTTCACTTCTTCCTCGTGACGTTTATTTTAAACAACACACTGTCCTGGACCAAGCTGCTGGTCTGCTACTGCCTCCTGTGGTCGGTTTGTGTCAGTGTGCTATATCTGAAATAAATGATTTTCAACACTAATGTAAAAAAACAACAGATTTTTGAATATTTGATGAAGGCCGTGGCTGATGAAACAACTCCTATGTGACATGGTTAAAAATGGGAAGTCCTAGAAACGTTCACTTCCTGGTCTGCTATGACTCTAGGCTGCCCTCTGCCTTTCAGGCTACTCACTGCAGGAGCATGGTCCCCTGCCAGGACACTCCTTCTATCAAACACACCTACTACGCTCAGGTAAGTTACTGAAGATACACCAGGAGGTGGCCAACGCTGTTGTCTTTGACCCTTAGACGTGACTGTGTCTCTCTGTCCCTCAGGTGTCCGTCCCTCAGGACCTGGTCGCTTTGATGAGCGCTGTGAGAGATGGACAGACAGCTGATCCTCAAGACAGCAGCAGAATTGTGTATAAATTCAGGCAAACGGTAAGAAAGTCTCAATTTGTTTTTCTGGCAGTGACAGACGTATTAGGATTCATCACGGTTTTCTGTCGTGTAAACTCTGTCACCAGGTTCCCATGCCGTCCTACCTGATAGCCATTGTGGTGGGAGCGTTGGAGAGCAGGTAACGTGGCGTGTTCTGGAGCGTTCCGATCATATAATATTGTTGTTATGATGAGCAGGTGGCAGTTTATTTGTCTTGTTGCTGGTCTGAAGGGTGATCGGCCCAAGGTCCAGAGTCTGGTCTGAGAAGGAGTTTGTGGACAAAGCGGCGTTCGAGTTTTCGGAGGTTTGTGACTCAGCTCCGGGGATGATTTAGTCATGACTTAATCTGAATCTGTCTTAAGGTCAGATTTCCAAATGACAAAGTTTGACCAGTGTTTGTTTGTGTCTTAGACTGAAACCATGTTAAAAACCGCTGAGGATCTCGCTGGACCCTACGTTTGGGGTCAGTACGACATCTTGGTTCTGCCGCCGTCTTTCCCATACGGAGGCATGGAGAACCCCTGTCTGACCTTTGCCACGCCCACACTGCTGGTATAAAAAAACACACATAAATAAAGGGATCGTTCAGTTTTTGGCAGTGTGGTTAGTCAGCATTGATAATCCACATCAAATTATATGAATGTATAAATATTTACTGCTTATCACAAAGTTCATGGAGTCGATCAGTGATAAAACGTCACAGCACACAAGACTGATGTCATTAAATAGAATCACCACACGGGGCAGCACTAGACCAGCAGCTCCTGATGATTTTTTTCTGTGTACTTGAGTGACGGGAAGTTTTGGAACTTTCTGTGTAATGTGGTTTACATCAGCTGTTTACTGTCCCTGCTGGCACCAGAGGGCGCTACCGCTCAGTTTGTGCTGATGATGCTTAAAACCCTTCATACCACCACACCAAAAAAAAAAACAACTTTCCCTGAAAACCAATCCTAAATCTGAGGTGTTGACATGTGACCTGATGTCATCTGTCTCTTAACAGGCGGGGGACAAGTCTCTGTCCAACGTAAGTAAAAAAAAAAGAAAAAGTATTGAATTGTTTGTGTGAACATTCATGCATTCATCAGGTTGTTCTTCCTGTCAGGTGATCGCACATGAGATCTCCCACAGCTGGACTGGAAACCTGGTGACCAACAAGACCTGGGAGCACTTCTGGTCAACACACACTCTGTCACACAGCTCACACTGGGTCATGTTCAGTTGAATTGATGATGCTGACGATTGGCTGTTTCGTTAGGCTGAACGAGGGTCACACGGTCTACCTGGAGAGGATGATCGGCAGGAGTATGGAGGGCGAACAGTTCCGACAGTTTGACGCCATGGGCGGATGGAAGGACCTGCAGGACTCCGTGAGAACCTGCACCCCGTGGTAATGTGTCCACGCTCCAGGTTCGTCTCTTACCCAAGTCTTTTGTCCCGCAGGTGAACACATTCGGAGCCAACAACCCACTGACAAACCTGGTGCCCAATCTGCAGGAGGTGGACCCCGACGACGCCTTCTCCACAGTGCCGTACGAGAAAGGCTTCACTCTGCTGTATCACCTGGAAGAACTCCTTGGTGGTCCAGGTAACTCCTGTTCGTGACGGATCACCTGGCCACGGTGCTAACAGGTCGTGACCTGTTCTCGTTTTTCCACAGAGGTGTTCATGGGCTTCATAAAGGCCTACATTCAGCTGTTTGCCTACAGCAGTGTCACCACGGAGGAGTGGAAGAATTACCTGTTCACCTACTTCAAAGATAAGGTGAGACTCACCTGATCGTGTTCCTGGTCTGAATGCAGTGACTTGAATGATGACCGTGATGGCTCAGTAGGTGGCGATGTTTTCAGATTGACTGAACAGTCCATGTTCCAGTAGCAAGTCTGCTTCTCTGACCTGACTTGACCTGATTAAAGCTAATAACTGATTAATTAGAGGCTTTGTAATCAATTGCATTATTTAAATATCTGCCGTATATATACTGTATATTACCACTGGTCGTACTTTACATACTGTATTATTCTTAGCGCTTGTACTATATACTTATTTTATTATTACATTTATATATTTATATATATGTATATGTGTATATATGTATTATGTCTGTGTATATATGTATACTTATATATATATATATAGGGCAAAGGCATCTGTTAAATATACAACACTTAATATATATGTGTATATATAAAGTATTTTATACATACTATGTATTAAGTATTTTCTTATTTAACAGTTGCCTATGAATTTGGTAGATACTAACTGCACTATGTTACCTGTGTACATTTTATGTAAATTAAATAATTTCAATATTATTATTATTGATATTATTATTAAATAATAATACATTTTTTAAGTTGCAAATACTTTTTTTGTTGATGATGTAGCGTTGTCATGGCCGACAGCCTGTAAACATCCACCGGTTGCTTCATTTCTGAACCCTGGATGCTGGTCATGTTGTTTCAGGTGGACATACTAAACAAGGTGGACTGGAACAGCTGGATGTTCACACCTGGAATGCCTCCTGTCAAACCTCAGTAAGTCGGTCGGGTCTACGGTGGTCTCACCACTGGTCTCTATCAGTCTTTCTGTCCCGGTCCTGATCAAGTTTGTTCTTCCCCATGTTTCAGGTACGACACGACTCTGGCAGATGCCTGCATTTCTCTCAGCCAGAGGTGGATAAAGGTCAGTCTTTGACCTTTGACCTGATGGAGACCTGGAGTCACCTTTTGTCATCCTTAACCTTTTGCTCCTTCATGTGTCCTCACAGGCCAAAGACCAGGACCTGAACAGCTTCTCGGAGAGCGACGTAAAGACTCTGTCGTCTCCACAGATGATTGAGTTTCTCTCTTTGCTGCTTCAGGAGGTAAATGAGAGTCAGGTCAAGTCCATCAGGCTTCACTCCAGTCCACTGAGGTTCACATCTCTGTGTCTTTCAGGATCCTCTCCCTTTGACCCATGTGATGAAGATGCAGCAGGTCTACGATCTCAACTCTTACCTGAATTCAGAGATTCGCTTCAGGTGAGGCCAGAATTACCTCCTTGCAGGATTTGGTAACTGAAAGTGCTCCCTCTAGCTAATTTGGTGTTCTCTGCAGTTGGCTCAGGTTGTGTGTTCGTGCCAAGTGGGACGATGCAGTTCCATTGGCGTTGAAGATGGCGACGGAGCAGGGACGGATGAAGTTCACCAGACCGTTGTTCAGGTTAATTGGAATATAATGAAAATGGTTTAAAGTTCCCTCCGAAATGTTTTTACTTTATTGACAAGGATGACATGTTTTACAGAGAAGTCTACAACTTCGAGAAGTTCCAAGAAGAAGCGGTCAGAACGTTTATTGCTAACCGTGCGGCGATGCATCCGGTCACTGCTGGATTAGTTTCTAAAGACCTGAAGGTGGACGCCATCATCACCACCAACCTGTGAACCCAGCACCAACACGCTTTACTGTATCAACTCAGGAGCAAATCGCAAATCAATACTTCCTTTACAGCAGCTAATCACTTGTTTTCCTCTAGTTATTTCTGTGATTTATTTTGTCTTCTGTAGGAAACATGATTAATCTCAGAACAAAAAAATGTTTTTATCAGGTGGTGATCAAAAAGTGTTTGATACAAAGTCAGCAGAAAATTTTAGTTTCTGAGTCCCAATATATATATATATTATGTATGATATTATGTATGATATTATGTATGATATTATGTATGATATTATATATATAAGATGGGACTTTGAAATTGCCAAAGCAACATGCTATACAAATAATTTCCTGAAAAATAAAACCTTCTCAAAAATGATTAAAAATGCACTCATTTGCCTTAAAATACTTAGCTATAATACTTATTACCTAGTTGGTATGCTAACTTTTGATCACAGCAAAATACTATACTAATTAGTTACAGAAAAAGTCTTCAAAAACAAAGGTTTCTCAGAAATGACTAAAAAACTAACTAAACTACTAATTTGGCTTAAACGACACAACAGTGACCACTTTTAAGGTTAAAATTCAGAAAAAAAAAAAATTTTTTCTTCACGTCAACCATTGTTAGCCATGTCCGAAAAGGTTTGTTTGGGAAAGAACAGGGAACTTTACTGTTTAACTCGGTAAACAAACCGTTACTCAGTTAAAAAAAATAAATGCGGGGAAAAACAATATGTTAACTGAAAGGAAATCGCGTGGACGGGCGTTCGCGGATTTCCCACTCGATTAGTCAACGTAGCCAGAGAACGTTGACTAATCATTGGATGACGGCTGGTGCCGAACAAAACATGGAGGTTGAGGATTGCCAAGCAGAGAGGTCCGTGGAGCAGAGGACTCAGAGAGAGAGAAGGAAATCATTGGTTAGATCTCACTCACCTCTTTGTTTTCAAATGCAAACGAGGCAAAAACTTCATCATGCGATGCAAAATGTGCCTTCCCCGGCGGACAGAGCTGTCGCTGTCGAAGCTTCCACATCAAACCAGCGGAAGCATGTGGCGGTGAGTAGAGTATTTGTATTTCTGCTTGTGTTTCTCAACTTCTCTATGTTTATCGTTCGGTTAAAACCGTCCTCCGTTAAGAAAAATGCGCCTTCAGGATGTAGATTATTTTCACTTAGCTTAACATCCATCCTGATAGCTAATGTTTCGGTGCAGCCAGGTAATTAAACAGCGTCCAACATTACTTGAATTGTTGATTAAAAACAACCAGTTGTAGATTTTCATAAAGTAATTTAATTACTAACTAATTATTTTTTAACTCAAAGTGAATTTTAAATTATTACTTTTTTGGTACTTTTTCCACCTTTGGCTATATTAGGGCAGCATTCTCTAATTTAATGAGAAACATGCAAAAACAATTTAATTAAAAAACAAATATTTAGCCAAATATTTTTATCAAGGGTTTCCAACATCTGACCCAAAATTACATGGTACATTAGGATTTTGGCCAAAAATGTCTAAAGAAATTTAAGAAAATATTTCATAAGAAACATGCAGAAAACTTTTTTTTTTTCAAAAATTTCATGAAAAATTTTGACATGCGAAATTAGGATTTTGCCAAATAATTCTAAAAAAATAAAATTTTACCAATTTTTTTTCAAAATGCTCAAATTTGATTAGAAACATGTGGAAAACTTAAAAATGCTTAATTTTCTTTTTCAAAAATGTTCATGAAAATATTTCTAATTTTGACCAACATGACACGAGAAATCAGGATTTGACCGAAAATTTTCAAGAAAATATATATTTTTTAAATTTCTCAAAATGCTCTAATTTGATGAGAAATGTCAGGAAATCATGCCTTTTTTTGTCAAACATTTTCATTAAAATTCTTCAACTTTTGATCAACGTAACATACAAAATTAGGATTTTGCAGAAAAATTCCAAAAAAGTATTTTTCCCAAATTTTTTCAAAATGCTCTAATTTGATGAGAAACATGCAGAAAACATAAAAATTAGATTTTTTATTTTTCAAAAATTTTCATGAAAATTTTTCAACTTTTCACCAATGTGACATGCAAAATTAGGATTTTGCCGAAAAAGTCAAATTTTTTTTTTCCCAAAACTTTTCATGATGCTCAAATTTGATGAGAAACATCTAGTAAACTTAATTTTCTTCTTCAAAAGTTTTCATGAAAATCTTTCACCATTTGACCACATGACTTGAGAAATTAGGATTTTGATGACAAAAAAATTTCAAAAAAGAATATTTCCGAATTTAAAAAAAAATTCTCTAATTTGATAAGAAATACGCAGAAAATTTAGATTTTTATTTTTAAAAAATATTCATGAAGATTTTTCAACTTTTCAAAAATGTGACATGCGAAATTACGTTATTGACGAAACCCCCCCCAAAAAAAACAATTTTACATGATTTTTCTTACAATCCTTTAGTTTTTTTTACCAGAAATTACATGAAAAGTTCACATTTTGACAGAGAATTTTATACAAAAAAAAAATCCCAAATATGTTCTCTAAATGCCCTAATAATTAATTTTATGAGAAATATGCAGGAAACGATGATATTTTGAAAAATAATTTTACAAAAATATTTGTCAAAATTCTTTAGTATTTGACCAAAAATAACACAAAGTTCACATTTTGACAGTAAAATCCATCCATCCATCCATCCATTTTCATCCTCTTATCCGTTACCGGGTCGCAGGGGGAGCAGTTGTCACCCAAATCACATTGCACCGTACCAACCCCCCAAACCTTCCTGCGGGTGGTGAGTCCACTGGAAGACAGTAAAATCTTTAAAAAAAAATTCAAAACATTTCTTTAAATGCCCTTATTTCATGAAAAACATGGAGGAATAGAAAAAACAATTTTACATGATTTTTGTAAATTATTTGTAGTTTTTGATCAAAATGATTTTGAAGTGGATTTTATACAGTAAAATTTCAAAAAATGTTCTCTGTATGCCCTAATTTTATGAGAAACATGCAGAAGAAGATACAATTTTGAAAAATAATTTTACATGATTTTTGTAAATTATTTGTAGTTTTTGACCAAAAATGACACGAAAAGTTCACATTTGGACAGAAACTTTTATTAATAAAACTTAAAAACGTTCTCTAAAATGCCTTAAAATGCAAGATTA